AGAATTTTTTTTTTGCATTAGAATTATTCATCTTGTACCTTTCATTTATTTTAATTTCTTCCAATTTACTATATTATTATTATTATTATACATTTCTTCTTTTACTTTAAAATTTTGTTAATTATTTATGATTGTATTGATTTTAAATATTTGTAAATTTTTTATTGTTTTATTTAATGATTTATTATTACATTAATTTATAATAATTTATTATTCCATTACAATTTCCTTTCCTTTCAGTTGACTATATTAATATTTTATTATGTTATTTATTTATAACATTTTATTCTTAATATTTGTTTATTTTGGGGATTTTTTTTCATAATAATTATTATTATTATTTTATAATTATTATTATTCGTCTTTTACCTTTCATTTGATTTAATTTCTTCCTATTTACTATATTATTATGATTTTTTTCTTTCACTTTTTCATTTTTGTTCATTATACATGCCTTTCTTGAAGATATTTTAAAATTAGTTCATTTATTGTCATTACTAATGGTCAATAAGAGACCAAACATTTGCCTTTTTGTCAGTAAACTGCTTAAATCTCTTCATCTCGCTCCTGTATTTTGGATTTTTCACAGTTTTGTGGAGTCTTTTCACTCACTTTACTCACATATAAAACAAAGCTCTGTCTGTGCACACAAACCCACAGCATTTGCATTAAAACCGAAGATGCGTCTGATAAAAATCAAGATTGTTAATAAACTGAATCTCTTTATTTCCGCGTTGAGCAGAGTTTTTCCAGTTCTTCCTGACGGTTTTGCAGATTTTATAAACAGTAAACAACTGATATCAGCATGTAGATCAGTGAACAGTATTTACATATTCATATGCTGATGAATGAATGCACATCTGCCTGCTTTATTATTATTATTATTATTTAATCTGTAATCTCTACATAACACATGTCATATAAATTGAAAATAAACAATATCATCAGCATAAACATGAAAGCAAAGCAACTAAATCACACGCTTTTACCAGTTGTGGCTGCATAGAACATGTGCTAGAATAGTTAGCTGTTCATTCCGCTGGGACTCAAACCAGTGACCTTCTTTGCTGTGAGGCCACAGTGCTAACCACTGAGGCACAGTGTCGTCTCGTTCTCAATGACATCTGTGATATTCAACAAGTTTGCCAATAAAAGATAGCATGTATTATTCTTTTACGGTCCATGCGTGAGCACGCGTATGATGAATTACAAACTATGCATCTAGCTTGAGCTATTTCTTAACTTTTTAAAGGGCAGACCACCGCATACATCTTGTTTTGATGTCCTTTAGGGGGAATCAAACGATCATTAGGGCAGCCAGATCTCTCCCAAACGACCTGTTATCCACGCCCTGCCTAAAGCATTGAACAGAGCTCTGCCGGTCGCTGTTTTCTGAAGCATCTTGATCTTGTTCTCAGGAATCTGACAACACACGTTTAATAAACTGACAAATGAAATAAAACGGAAAGCTGTAAACCAGTTAATGATAAACCTCATTGTGATAGTTTTGAGTGCGCCTCATACGCTGTAATAACTGTAGATCGTATAATAAGTGAACACACCCTTCCCTGGAAACACACTTCAAAAAGTCATAAAAACGTGAGATTGTGTGTGTGTGTGTGTGTGTGTGTGTGTGTGTGTGTGTGTGTGTGTGTTTATCAGTCAACCATTGGACGTGTTATATTGTACACCTGATGTATGACTTTATACAGCCGGCACAGAGTCTAGCTTTTGTGCCCACAATAAAGCTGATGGATGTGGGTTTGCTGATTTATTTTCTGTGATCCTGATTAAGAGCACAATAAACTTTATACATTTAGTTTTATATGGATAAATATATGACTGAAGATTAAATTATTTGCCCTCCTGTTACTTTTTTATTATTGCTATATATATATATATATAATTTGTTTAAATTTTATTTTCATTGAAGTTATTTGGTCAATTTTTTGCATTGCAATTCGTTCATTTATCTTTTTACTATTATTTGATTTAATTATTTTAATTATTTAATTATTCAGTTATTTGACCAATTATATTATTATTATTATTATTATTATTATGTAAATACATTTTTTACTTTTCTTTTAATTTTTGATATGTGTGTGTGTGTGTGTGTGTGTGTATATATATATATATATATATATATATATATATATATATATATATATATATATATATATATATATATATATATATATATATATTTTTTTTTTTTTTTTTTTGAACTTAGGTTTAGTAATTTTTTATTTTTCATATTAGTATACATTTAATTTTTTTTGCTTTGTAATTCATTCTTTCACCTTTTAACTATAATTTGATTTAGTTTGTTACAATTGACAAATTATTATTATATAATTAAATATATTTTTACTTTTCATTTTAGATATTTTTTATATTTGCTTATTTTTATTGTTTTCGCATTTAAATTTATTAATCATTTGACTTCATTTCTTTAAATTTATTATTATTAAACTTATTATTATTATTTAAATAAATATATTTTTTACTTTTTTATTCAGCATTTTTTCTTTAATATTTCATATGTATTTTTTCATCTTTTACTATCATTTGAATTTGTACTTTATTTTTACATTTAATTAAATTTTTTATTATATAGGTATTATATGGGTAGCACAATCACCATGCAGTAAGAAGGTTGCTGGGCTGGTTCAAGCCTCGGCAGTGTCAGTTGGCATTTCTGTGTGGAGTTTGCATGTTCTCCCCGTGTTGGCGTGGGTTTCCTCCGGGCGCTTTGTTTTCTCTCGCAGTCCAAACACATGCACAACTAAATTGGCCCTAGTGTATGAGTGTGTGTGTGTGTGTGTGTGTGTGTGTGTGTGTGTGTGTGTGTGAATAAGCGTGTATGGGTGTTTCCCAGTACTGGGTTGCAGCTGGAAGGGCATCCGCTGCATAATAACATATGCTGGAATAGTTGCCGGTTCATTCCACTGTGACAACCCCTGATAAAAAAAAGGACTAAGCCAAAATGATAATGAATGAATGTCCTGTTGTGCTGTTTAACAGAGCAAGGAAATCTGTAACAGCATGTGCAATAAAATTATTTTTCTCCTAGAAAAAGTTTTTTTAAATTACCATGAAAATGTAAAGAGCGATCAGCATTATTACGGCACGTCAACGGGAATAATTACAATATTTGCAGCTTAAATTTGAAATAAATGCTCAGAAGACATTTTCCTATAATGTTTAGTTTTTTAATCGGACTCAAATGAACTAAATTTTTAAAAATCTATTTTTAGGATCAATGTTACTATAATATTATATATTATCATCAATAAAAAGGTACATTTTGCAGTAAAATAATTTTTCCATGTAAAATTTACTTCAACAATTATTTTTTTTTTTGACTTGAAAGTCTATTTTTATAGTTCCAAGAGAAACAATACTGATTATAAATGACCAAAACACGACTAATGCTATAATTACAGCTGTTCTAATGAGCAGAGACGCTTCCCATGTCCTTCAGTGTTGACGTCAGGTGTTTTACAGTGGCAGAACATAGTAAAATCCCACATTACTGAAGCCCTCATGGAGAAAACCAGCAACAATGTGAAAAACAAAAGAAAATATGACCTAGACGACACTAAATACGGGTTTGGTATCGCTGCTACTTGATATCCAGAGAGAAAAAAAAAGTCCTGAAGCAAAACCAGCAGGAGTTTACATCATTTACGTCATTATACAACAGCAGCATGAGAATTGATTCATAAAAACTCTTGATGTGTATATGATTGTATGTCGTATAATAAACTTTAAAGATGGACAAAATAACAAACCAAAGTTTTACTAAATTATTTTTGGCCCTCCCGTGGAGTTTAACTTCATGCTCCGATATTTCACAGATGTTTAACAGAGAGAAGATCATTTTTAGCATATTCAAAGCCACACAGGACATTTATGGTCCTCGCAAAGTCAGGAGTACAAGTTGCACGCACACACACACACTCACACACAGGAACACGCACAAACAAGCACACACCCACGCATATGCACCTTCTCACACCGTCTGTCACACATTCATATACACATGCACAAGCACACACACACAATTAAAACAGTTGTACTTCAATAAATCAATTAACACTGTCCTTGTATCACCATGGCAACTATAGATCTATCACAACAATTACCATCATTGTGTTACCATGCTAACCATAGAACTAAAACAACAGATACATTATTATAGTTGTTGTGTTACCATAGCAACTATAGAAACTACAACAAAATATCAATTACTATAGTTGTGTGTTACCATGATATAGTTGTTACCACAGCAACTACGTAACTACCAAACAGGGCAATTAATATAGCTATTAGTTACTTATATCACCATAACAACTATACTGTAGAACTACCACAACATACATACACACACACACACACACACACACACACACACACACACATATATATATATATATATAAAACTATAGTGGTTGTTACCTTAGCAACTATAGAACTACCACAACAGATCAATTACTATAGTTGATGTTTTACAATAGCAACTATAGAACTATATCAAAAGATCAGTTAATTTAGTTGTTGTGTCACCATAGCAACTACAGAACTACCACAACAGATCAATTAATATAGTAGTGTTACCATAGCAACTGTAGAATCACCACAACAGATCAATTAATATAGTTGTGTTACCATGGCAACTATAGAACTACCACAACAGATCAATTACTATAGTTTTTGTGTTACCATAGCAACTACAGAACTTCCACAACAGATCAATTAGTATAGCTGTTCTGTCACCATAGCAACTATAGAATCAAATATCAAGTACTTTATTACAGTGTAGTTCAAAAGCACTGTAATATCTACTAGTTACTATTTACTAAAATTGACTATAAAACTTTTTCACATGGCCTGACCTGGGTTCTAATGGGTTCTGACCACTTTCATGCAGTTCTAATGGTAATGCAGTGTAAAGATGTTTGTTAGCTGGTAACTGTTGATTTTTTTATACACAGACACAGATGATGTACCTGCTGAGTCTCCCGATGTAGAACGTGAGTATCCGATTTACTGTCACCTGCACAATTGAGGAAAGCTAAGGTCAGATCTAATGAGCAGTGTCATGATTTAACTGTGAAATCTCTATTACAGCTGTAGATGCTGAAGCTGGAGCTGAAGAGCAAACACCTAAGGAAGAACCAGCAGTAGAGGAAGAACCAGCAATAGAAGAAGAACCACCAGCAGAAGAAGAACCAGCAATAGAAGAAGAACCACCAGCAGAAGAAGAACCAGCAATAGAAGAAGAACCACCAGCAGAAGAAGAACCAGCAGTAGAAGAACCACCAGCAGAAGAAGAACCAGCAGTAGAAGAACCACCAGCAGAAGAAGAACCAGCAGTAGAAGAACCACCAGCAAAAGAACCAGAAGCAGAAGAAGAAGATCCAGCAGAAGAACCACCAGCAACAGAAGAAGAACAAGAACCAAAAGAGCCAGCAGCAACAAAGGAACCAGCGGCAGAAGAACCAGCACCAGAAGAACCAGTAGTAGAAGAAGAAACACCTGCACCTGAAGTACTCGTAACACATCCTGTGGCTCCTGCAGGTTAGACAAAAGATTAAAGCATTGTTACATTGTACAGTGATTTTACCAAGAGTATGAGGTGTTCTGTGGAGAGTTATAAAAAAAATTACAGTTTAGAATTTATGATTGTTTCCACTGAGCGTTTATTTCTATCTCTACAATCAGACGTACCTAAATAGCAACCTGTACTGTACTGTGCTAAACTGCACCTTACAAAGTCATTTCTTGTAAGAACTCACTTACTGTAATTGTTGCGTTGCCATAGCAACTATAGAACTACCACAACAGATCAAGTACTATAGTTGTTGTGTTACCATAGCAACCATACAAGTATGTCAACGCATCAATTAATATAGTTGTTGCGTCACCATAGCAACTATAGAACTACCACAACATATCAACTACTATAGTTGTTGTGTTACCATAGCAACTATACAACTATGTCAACACATCAATTAATATAGTTGTTGCATCACCATAGCAACTATAGAACTACGACAACAGATCAATTACTATAGTTGTTGCGTCACCATAGCAACTATAGAACTATGACAACACATCAATTACTATAGTTGTTGCGTTACCATAGCAACTATAGAACTATGACAACACATCAATTACTATAGTTGTTGCGTCACCATAGCAACTATAGAACTATGACAACACATCAATTACTATAGTTGTTGCGTCACCATAGCAACTATAGAACAATGACAACACATCAATTACTAAAGTTGTTGCATCACCATAGCAACTATAGAACTACCACAACAGATCAATTAATATAGTTGTTGCTTCACCATGGCAACTATAGAACTATGACAACAAATTAATTACTATTGTTGTTGCGTCACCATAGCAACTATAGAACTACGACAACACATCAATTACTATAGTTGTTGCGTCACCATAGCAACTATAGAACTATGACAACACATCAATTACTATAGTTGTTGCGTCACCATAGCAACTATAGAACTATGACAACACATCAATTACTATAGTTGTTGCGTCACCATAGCAACTATAGAACTATGACAACACATCAATTACTAAAGTTGTTGCATCACCATAGCAACTATAGAACTACCACAACAGATCAATTAATATAGTTGTTGCTTCACCATGGCAACTATAGAACTATGACAACAAATTAATTACTATAGTTGTTGCGTCACCATAGCAACTATAGAACTACGACAACACATCAATTACTATAGTTGTTGCGTCACCATAGCAACTATAGAACTACGACAACACATTAATTACTATTGTTGTTGCGTCACCATAGCAACTATAGAACTACGACAACAGATCAATTACTATAGTTGTTGCGTCACCATAGCAACTATAGAACTATGACAACACATAAATTACTAGTTGTTGCGTCACCATAGCAACTATAGAACTATGACAACACATCAATTACTAAAGTTGTTGCATCACCATAGCAACTATAGAACTACCACAACAGATCAATTACTATAGTTGTTGCGTCTCCATAGCAACTATAGAACTACGACAACACATTAATTACTATTGTTGTTGCGTCACCATAGCAACTATAGAATTACGGCAACACATCAATAACTCTAGTTGGTGTGTCACCATAGCAACTATAGAATTACTACAACAGATGAATTATTTTAGTTATTGTGTCACAATAACAACTATAGAACTACCATAACCGGTCATTTACAATAGTTGTTCTGTTGCCATAGCAACTATAGAATCACCACAACAGATCAGTTACTATACTTGTTCTGTTACCATAGCAACTATAGAACTATAACAACAGATCAAATACTAGTTGCATTACCATAGCAACTATAGAACCACCACAAAAGATCAAATAATAACGTTCTTGTATCACTATAGCAACTATAGAACCACTTCAAGATCAGTTACTATAGCTGTTGTGTCACCAGTTTTTTTTACATACTGTTATGGTTCATTTCCATTAAGCAGTACAGTATAGTGGTTAGGACTGTGGCCTCATGCTGGTTCGAGTCTCGGCTGGGTCAGTTGGTGTTTCTGTGTGGAGTTTGCATGAGATAATGAAGATTCTATATAAACACACACATTACAGTACTTTACATTACATTTTCCTTCAGCTCAGTTCCTTTATTCATCAGGAGTTGCCACAGTGGAATGAACCACCAACTAGTCCAGCATATGTTTTACACATTAGATGCCCTTCCAAGACCCGGTACTGGGAAACACCCATACACACTCATTCTCACACACACACTCATACACTACAGCCAATTTAGTTGATCAGTTCCCCTATAGCACATGTGTTTGGACTGTGGGGAAACCGGAGCACCCGAAGGAAACCCACGCCAACACGGGGAGAACATGCAAACTCCACACAGAAATGCCAACTGATCCAGCCGGGATCAAACCAGCGAGGCTGTGAGGCCACAGTGTTAACCACTGAGCCACCGTGTCACCCCTTCTAGAGTAATAATGCTGTAAATGAAATTCTCTGTGTTTTCTATCTAATACCTGTAGCTTTGGTGAGTAGAAGAGCACTTAATTCTTGATAAAACCAGGAAATGTTTTAACTACAGAGTCATGGAAATCTGTTTTTAAATATGCTAATCGTATGGAAATGTTCGGCAAGATCATTTGTGATCTGATAGCTGGAGAGAGCTCTTTATAGAGTCCTGACGAAGGTCTGCTGTAATGCTGAAGAGCTGGGAAACTCATCCAGCTTCAGCGCTCAGCCTGTAATGACGCTGTGGTTTGACTCGCTCAGATTTTCCTCTAGTCTGGAGATTCATAATGTGCTGCGTAATAATGAACACACACACACACACACACACACACACACACACACACACGCACGCACACACGCATTCATGCACATGCACATGCAAACACACGCAAACACACACACACACACACACACAAAGATATGCTCACACAAACACACATGCACACACGCATGCATTCATGCACATGCACATGCACACGCAAACACACACACACACACACACACATGCAGACAGACACACGCATGCAGACAGACACACACATGTACATGTGTGCACGTGCTCACAAACATGCTCAAAAACAAAAACAAAGTCACACATTTGTGCACACACTCACACTAATGAACACACATGCACAAACACACATATGTACATATGCTTACACAAACACACTCAAGCACACACACAAATATGAATTCAATCTTAAGCACACATATATACACACAAAAACACAATTGCACACACAAACACACACATGAATTTAATCTCTCACACACATGCATACATAAAATAACACAAACAGACACTCACAAACACACTTACAGATGTACACTCACAAATTCACACACACACACACACACATGCACACAGACACTTACAGAAGTAGATTCACACAAACACAAACATCCACTTGCACACACATAAACGCTTACAAAACCCTTGTGTTCGTCAACACACACAAACACATGCATAAACATATACTTACTCACATAAACACACACTTACACACACAAACACATATTCGAGCACTCACACAAATGAACACACACACACACACACACACATATATATATATATATATATATATGTTCACAAAAACACACATGCACACATGTACGCATTTATGCACATGCACACGCAAAAACACACAGACACAGGCACACACACGCATGCATGCAGACAGACACACACATGTACATGTGTGCACGTGCACACAAACATACTCGCTCAAGCACACATTCATGCACACACTCACACTAATGAACACACATGCACAAACACACATGTACATATGCTTGCACAAACAAGCGCACACACAAATATGAACTCACTTTATTACAAGCACACACATATACACACAAAACACACTTGCACACGCACACACACACACGCACACAGACACTTACAGAAGTAGATTCACACAAACATACACTTGCACACACAAACACACATAAATGCTTACAAAACCCTTGCGCTCATCAACACACACACAAACACATGCATACACAAAAACATATACTTATTCACACAAACACACACTTGCACGCGCACACACATACACACACACACACACACACACACACAAACACATATTCGAGCACTCACACAAATGAACACACACACACACACAAACACACACAAAAACACACACAAACACATATTCGAGCACTCACACATCTGAACACACACGCGCACACACACACACACACACACACACACACAATTTAAACAGTGTGTTATGATGTAAACTGGACTCGTATTTCTCTGCTTGTGTTTCCATCAGCAGATAAGGAACCTGAAGCAGAACCAGAAGATCCAAGTGACACAGGTAAACACACACACACACACGTCTCTGTGTTTGTGCTGAGCTTATAATGTCAACAGAATTGACACACCAGCCGTTTCTGTGCTCACTAGACTGTAGAAACCACAGTTTACTGTAACATGGGCAGATCTCCACACACATAACACTAGTACTGTTTTAAATCTGTCATTATGCTGACACACAGGCGTCTGAAGCCCCGCCCTCTTCTGAAAAGTGCACAATCTCATTTGCATTTAAAGCGACAGTCATCAAACTCCACAATTAGCATCAAAGCCTGAAAGGGTCAGTGTCAGAGAGATGGAGAACATTATCTGTGTGCTGTTCTCAGCTCACACTCAAACACACACACACACACACACACACACACACACACTCTACAGACTCTCTTATTTTATAGCTTGTATTAAGGGGCATAATAAGACTCATATGCTGAATGTTTGGTTGTTTTTCAGATGTTGATCCGCCTGTGGGAGAGCCTGACATCAATGAGGAAGGTAAGACAGAGGTGTACTGTTCTCCATTATCAGTGCTGATCTACACTAAACCACACTCTGACAGCAGATAAACACAGCTTTATTATCATTACACTCAAACAATACGCTGTTATGGACACAGTAAAGCTCGAACAGGACACTCGTTACTGTGATGTTACATAATACCTGAGATTAAACAGAGAAAAGCGTTAAAGAGCAGCTCGCATGGGTTTTCAGAAAAATCTTTTATTAGCAGAGAGTGCTTCAGTGTAAACAGTCTGCAGGATAAATACAAACATACACTCACTGGCCACTTTATTAGGTACACCTTACTAGTACCGGGTCGGACCCCTTTTGCCTTCAGAACTGCCTTAATCCTTCATGTCAGAGATTCAACAAGCTACTGGAAATATTCCTCAGAGATTTTGCTCCATATTGTCATGATAGCATCACACAGTTGCTGCAGATTTGCCGGCTGCACATCCATGATGCCAATCTCCCGTTCCACCACATCCCAAAGCTGCTCTATTGGATTGAGCTCTGGTGACTGTGGAGGCCATTTGAGTACAGTGAACTCATCGTCATGTTCAAGAAACCAGTCTGAGATGATTGAGCTTTATGGCATGCTGCGTTATCCTGCTGGAAGTAGCCATCAGAAGATGGAGACACTGTGCTCATAAAGGGATGGACATGGTCAGCAGCAATACTCAGGTAGGCTGTGGCGTTGATGCTCAATTGGTACTAATGGACCCAAAGAAAATCTCCCCCAAACCATTACACCACCACCACCAGCCTGAACCGCTGATACAAGGCAGGATGATCCATGCTTTCATGTTGTTGAGTCGAGCATCCGAATGTTTCAGCAGAAATGGAGACTCATCAGAGCAGCAACGTTTCTCCAATCTTCTATTGTCCAGTTTTGGTGAGTCTGTGTGAATTGTAGCCTCAGTTTCCTGTTCTTAGCTGACAGGAGCGGCACCCGGTGTGCTCTTCTGCTGCTGTAGCCCATCCGCCTCAAGGTTGGACGTGTTGTGTGTTCAGAGATGCTCTTCTGCAGAGCTCGGTTGTAGCGAGTGCTTATTTGAGTTACTGTTGCCTTTCTATCAGCTGGAACCAGTCTGGCCATTCTCCTCTGACCTCTGGCCTCATCAACAAGGCATTTGCGCCCACAGAACTGCCGCTCACTGGATATTTCCTCTTTGTCGGAGCATTCTCTGTAAACCCTAGAGATGGTTGTGCGTGAAAATCCCAGTAGATCAGCAGTTTCTGAAATACTCAGAGCAGCCCGTCTGGCAGCAACAACCATGCCACATTCAAAGTCACTTAAATCCCTTTTCTTCCCCATTCTGATGCTCGCTTTGAACTGCAGCAGATCCTCTTGACCATGTCTACATGCCGAAATGCAGTGAGCTGCTGCCATGTGATTGGCTGATTAGAAATTCGCGTTAATGAGCAGTTGAACAGGTGTACCTAATAAAGTGGCCAGTGAGTAGTGTCTTAAAAGAAAGATTTGACTCTGAATCGTGTTAATGGTTTATTATATTTTGAATCTTCTGTCTGCTACTGATCTACAGTAACACTATTAAAGTAACTAATTTGCATAAGACCCTCCTACCACAATGCACAAACAGTGGGTGTTTCCTTTCTGACCAACCCAAATCTTGGCTCAGCAGACTAATCAGAGATGATTTATTTTCTGCGGATTAACATTAATGCAAAATAGCTTATTTGCATAATCCTCACCTCCCACAATACACAATCACTAAAATGGGTGTTTCCTATCTGACCGATCAAAACAGAGTTGGCTTAACTGACCAGTCAGAGCAGATTTGGCTGTCTGCAGATGAAACATGAATGCAAAATAGCTCATTTGCATGATTTCCGCCTCCTGCAACATACAAACTCTCTAAAAAGGGTGTTTCTTTTCTGATACTGAAGGATCAATGAAACCACACATGGCTCAGCAGACCAATCAGAGCAGAGTTAGCTTATGTAATGGGAAGGGGCTTACAGACCTCAAGCAGTGAATTGATTCAAATGAACTGAATCTAAATAACTGTAAAATGACTCGAACATTAAATACATCATTCAGTGTTTCTGTCATGTGGGTCATATGGGTTTAAAAAATGTTATTTGCAGTTTGTAATGTTGTTCATCAAAAAAAAAAAGATTACGATACATAAAGATGTTGTCTATATTTCAATCTTTTGCCTGCTACTGATCTAGGCCAACACAAAATAACTAATTTGCATAAACCCTTGCATAAATAACTGATCTTATATGCATTTAACGCTGTTGTAGGAGACTCAACACACTTTATAACAACATACAAGCTGCTCTTTAAATACTGTTCACAGTCCAAACTCTACACTAAACACCCATGTGTAACGCTGTTTGTTTTGTTGGATTGGTAGTTTTCATTTGCCGTCATAATGTTCACTAAATTGATGAAAATGCAAAAGAAATATAGTTTAATTGGACACAATCATCACAGCTCTTTTTTGATGACTCATTTGGAATTTAATGATCCTGTGTGTGTTTGTCAAAATTGTAGAGAACGCAGCAGCAGGTGACGCAAAAGAGGAACCAGAGAAAGCAGATGAAGGTAAAGTGAGAACAGCATTGATTTTCTGTCTGTTTATCTGTCTGGATGCTTGTGCGTTTAAGGGAATGATGGGAATGTTCAAACACACACAAGGACTCTGTTTCAGTGGTAAAATGAAACGTATGTGTTCATTTTAGTTCCAGGAACATATTGCGCTGTGTGTGTGTGTGTGTGTGTGTGTTGCATTTCAGGTTTTCAGATTATTCGCTTGCATCAAAACTGAAAAATATTTTAGCTCTGCTTGATGCACAGAAATTCTTTAAAACAAATAGTTAAATTCAAGAGAGAAAATTACCATAACGATCATTCTGAAAAAACATCTGACACACTAATAAAACCCCGCCCCCTACTCAATATTCTGTTTTAGTTAGAAATACATTACCATATTGTAATAAAACCCCGCCCCCTACTCAATATTCTGTTTTAAGTGGAAATACATTACCATACTGTAATAAAACCCCGCCCCTACTCAATATTCTGTTTTATTTGGAAATGTATTACCATACTGTAATAAAACCCCGCCCCTACTCAATATTCTGTTTTAATTGGAAATGTATTACCATACTATAATAAAACTCCGCCCCCTACTCAATGTTCGGTTTTAAGTGGAAATGCATTACCATACTGTAATAAAACCCCGCCCCTACTCAATATTCTGTTTTATTTGGAAATGTATTACCATACTGTAATAAAACCCCGCCCCCTACTCAATATTCTGTTTTAATTAGAAGTGTATTACCATACTGTAATAAACCCCGCCCCCTACTCAATGTTCGGTTTTGGTTGGAAATGTATTACCATACTGTAATAAACCCCGCCCCCTACTCAATATTCTGTTTTAATTAGAAGTGTATTACCATACTGTAATAAACCCCGCCCCCTACTCAATGTTCGGTTTTGGTTGGAAATGTATTACCATACTGTAATAAACCCCGCCCCTACTCAATATTCTGTTTTAAGTGGAAATGTATTACCATACTGTAATAAAACCCCGCCCACACTCAATATTCTGTTTTAGTTGGAAATGTATTACCATACTGTAATAAAACCCCGCCCACACTGACTTGTTTGTAAATAAAAAATCTATTGAAATGAATGTGACAGTAGGTTGTAAGTGCACAGAATCACTGCAGTTCTGCAGGTGAAGCTGATGTGAGAGAAACAGGTGTGTCTCTCATCATCACACACCTGTGGACAAATATACATATATACACTGTGTTCACACTCACATTTGACATTATGTACTGAATTATATAAATATATGAGTGTGTGTGTGTGTGTGTGTGTGTGTGTGTGTGTTTTCTCAGACTCGGCTGTAGTTGAGGAGGTCCTCCTGGCCGCTGAGGAGTCAGTGAATGGTCTGACCGTCTTTTCTGAAACACACTTTTACTGTTAGTCTGTGCTTGTTTGTGTGTGTGATGTGTTAGTAAAGTGTGTTTATTTCTGCAGTTCATGCGAGAGGATTTGATCTTACTGATGCAATCAGTGATGACGAAGGTAAGACACTTTCATTTCTAATGTGCACAGATGCATTTGCTGCATGATCAAAGTAACTCATTTGCATAACCCCTCCTCCTGTGACACACAAACACTGAAATGAGTGTTTCCTTTTCCGACACTAAAAGACCAATTAAAACAGACTTTGTCAGCTGACCAATCAGAGCAGAGTTGGCTTATGGAAGGGGGAGGGGCGTGTGGACCTTAAAGTCAGCATGAAGCAAAAGTTAAGATTCCCGTTTACTCTTCTAATGTGATGTACGGTCTTGAAATGAGAAGAAAATGTAATGTGTAACTTTAGCCTTTGGGAACAAATTGGTTTGTTGGAAGATGGTCATTGCTAAAAAAAAATGAAGGAAGATTGATGAAGGAATGACAGGCTAAGCAGAAACTAAATGGACTGATAGCTTCGCCCTGAAGGTTTGATTGTCCTGTCCTAAAAACTGATAACGCCGCCCAAAATGACTGATAATACTGCCCTAAAACACTAATAATCCCACCCCAAATGACTGATAGCCCCGCCCTAAGACTGATAATGCTGCCTTAAAACACTGATAACTCCACCCTAAAGGACTGACAGCCCCGCCCCAAATGACTGATAATGCTGCCTTAAAACACTGATAACCCCACCCTAAAGGACTGACAGCCCCGCCCCAAATGACTGATAATGCTGCCTTAAAACACTGATAACCCCACCCTAAAGGACTGACGGCCCCGCCCCAAATGACTGATAATGCTGCCTTAAAACACTGATAACCCCACCCTAAAGGACTGACAGCCCCGCCCCAAATGACTGATAATGCTGCCTTAAAACACTGATAACCCCACCCTAAAGGACTGACAGCCCCGCCCCAAATGACTGATAATGCTGCCTTAAAACACTGATAACTCCACCCTAAAGGACTGACAGCCCCGCCCCAAATGACTGATAATGCTGCCTTAAAACACTGATAACCCCACCCCAAATGACTGATAGCTCCGCCACTAAAAACTGACAATGCTGCCTTAAAACACTGATAACCCCAACAAAAAGGGCTGCTAGCACCGCCCTAAGATCGATAACATCACCTTAAAGGATTGATAACCCCACCCTAAAGGACTAATAGCCCTGTCTCTAAAAGTCTGATAACATCCCCTTAAAGGACAGATAGCCCCTCCCTAAAGGACTGACAGCCCCGCCCCAAATGACTGACAACGCTGCCTTAAAACACTGATAACCCCACCCTAAAGGACTGACAACCCCGCCCCAAATGACTGATAACGCTGCCTTTAAACACTGATAACCCCACCCTAAAGCCTGACGGCCCCGCCCCAAATGACTGACAACGCTGCCTTAAAACACTGATAACCCCACCCTAAAGGACTGACGGCCCCGCCCCAAATGACTGACAACGCTGCCTTAAAACACTGATAACCCCACCCTAAAGGACTGACGGCCCCGCCCCAAATGACTGACAACGCTGCCTTAAAACACTGATAACCCCACCCTAAAGGACTGACGGCCCCGCCCCAAATGACTGACAACGCTGCCTTAAAACACTGATAACCCCACCCTAAAGGACTGACAGCCCCACCCCAAATGACTGACAACGCTGCCTTAAAACACTGATAACCCCACCCTAAAGGACTGACAACCCCGCCCCAAATGACTGATAACGCTGCCTTTAAACACTGATAACCCCACCCTAAAGCCTGACGGCCCCGCCCCAAATGACTGACAACGCTGCCTTAAAACACTGATAACCCCACCCTAAAGGACTGACGGCCCCGCCCCAAATGACTGACAACGCTGCCTTAAAACACTGATAACCCCACCCTAAAGGACTGACAGCCCCGCCCCAAATGACTGATAACGCTGCCTTTAAACATTGATAACCCCGCCCTAAATGACTGACGGCCCCGCCCCAAATGACTGATAACGCTGCCTTTAAACACTGATAACCCCACCCTAAAGGACTGATGGCTCCGCCCCAAATGACTGACAACGCTGCCTTAAAACACTGATAACCCCACCCTAAAGGACTGACGGCCCCGCCCCAAATGACTGACAACGCTGCCTTAAAACACTGATAACCCCACCCTAAAGGACTGACAGCCCCGCCCCAAATGACTGATAACGCTGCCTTTAAACACTGATAACCCCACCCTAAATGACTGACAGCCCCGCCCCAAATAACTGATAACGCTGCCTTTAAACACTGATAACCCCACCCTAAAGGACTGATGGCTCCGCCCCAAATGACTGACAACGCTGCCTTAAAACACTGATAACCCCACCCTAAAGGACTGACAGCCCCGTCCCAAATGACTGACAACGCTGCCTTAAAACACTGATAACCCCACCCTAAAGGACTGACAGCCCCGCCCCAAATGACTGATAACGCTGCCTTTAAACACTGATAACCCCACCCTAAATGACTGATAGCCCTGCCCTTAAAAACTGATAATGCTGCCTTAAAACACCAATAACCCCAGCCTAAAGGACTGATAGCTCCGCCCCCAATGACTGATAGCCCTGTCTCTAAAAGCCCGATAGCGTCACTCTAAAGGACTGTTAGACCCACCCCAATTGACTGATAGCCCCACCCTTAAAAGCTGATAATGCTGCCTTAAAACACTGATAGCCCCGCCCCATGTGACTTTGAGTCTTTGAATAAGCACAGATAGATCGTTTATAACCGGCACTGCTATACTCATATAAAATAAGAGGGAAAATTTGAGTTCATGGTGGCTTTAAGTGCTGAATTGATTCAAATAAATAGAATCAACATTATTTAATTTTTAACCATATACTGAGTAAATGAGAGTGTTTTCAGAGCGTAGATACACTTAAAGCTGTGGTAGGAGACTCGGCACAATAGCACAGGAGCTGCTTTATAGGAATCCTCATATACAACTGAAGACTGAAGCATCATGAGAGGCTGAGCCTGCAGTAATGATGCTGAAAATACAGTTTTACACTGCTGAAATAAACTCATTTTACAGTGTGTTGACTACAGCGGTGTTAATCGTGTTTCTGCTCAATCATGTGCAGTTTGCTCTGCACAAGAGGTTTGTTTAATGTGGGAAAGAATCTGAATTATTCCACACGTCTGACTGGTGTTGTGCTGCGAAACTGATCATTAAACACTCATCAGAAGTCATGCATGCTCGTAAATACCTGACATTTGCATATTTGAAGCCTCTCTCACTCACACACACACACACACACACACACACACACAGCACTGCATGTCCTGACAGTTACAGTGCTCATATTAACTCATAACTGAACTGGAGACAGAGTATGAGTGTGTGTGAGTATGTGTGATGGACTATATATATATATATATATATATATAAAATGAGCAATATCACACGAGTAGCAGTGCGAAATGGCTGTATATCGGCACTGGTGGGAGGCGTGCGATGGCATGAGGCCATAGGCCGAGTGCCCTACCAGTGCCGATATACAGCCATATCGCACTGCTACTCGTGTGATATTGCGTTTATACAACAGTTTGACGCCATAATTGTGTATATACAGAACAAAATCAAACATGGAGTCTCAAAAACCCTTTTGTATGAGGAACTACTTTCTTCCACATTGGATTCAAATCATAAGCTGACAGTGAAACAGCTGAGCAAGCATCTTTTACACTGTGGATCTGTAGTGTCTGCTTTCTGCTGGCTGTATGTGGGCGGAGTAATACACAAAGGGTAAAGAGGCTGTAGGAGTTCTGATATTGCAGAATATAGCATGGCTATCAGCCAATCAGATTTGAGAACCAGACAGAACTGTTGTGTGTGTATATATATATATATATATATATAATAACTCATCTCTAATAACTGATTTATTTTCTATTTGTCATGATGATAGTGAATAATATTAGACTAAATATTCTTCAAGACGCTTCTATACAGCTTAAAGTGACATTTAAAGGCTTCACTAGGTTAATCAGGGTAACTAGGCAGGTTATGGTAATTAGGCAGTTTATTGTATAATGATGGTTTGTTCTGTAGACTATCGAGGAAAAAAAATAGCTTAAAGGGGCTAAAAATAATGACCTTAAAATGGTGTTTAAAAATTAAAAACTGCTTTTATTCTAGCTGAAATTAAACAAATAAGACTTTCTCCAGAAGAGAAAAATATTATCAGACATACTGTGAACATTTCCTTGCTCTGTTCAACACCATTTGGGAAATATTTTTTAAAAATTGAAAGGGGGGCTAATTCATCTGACTTCAACTGTACATACACGCACAGAAACTCTCTGCTTTAAGAGACCTGCACAGGAAGTTGTTTTCAGACAGTGATCACTGTCTTTCTAATAACCTGTATCTTATGTCTGCAAAAATGCTTCATCAGAATGCAAACTGTATCACACTTAGAGAAGTTTATATTTTCCCCAGCAATATACAGTGCATCCGGACAGTATTGATAGCGCTTGACTTTTTCCACATTTGTTTATGTTACAGTCTTATTCCGAAATGGATTAAACTGATTGATTTCCTCAACATTCTACACACAATCCCCCATAATGACAATGTGGAGAGAGTTTGTGAAAATGTTGCAGATTTATTAAAGCTGTAAAATCAGATGTACATCAGTGTTCACAGGCTTTGCTCAATACTCTGTTGATGCAGCTTTGTCAGTGATTACAGCCTCAAGTCTTCTTGAATATGACGTCACAAGCTCTGCACACCTGTCTTTGGGAAGAGTGACCATCGGGTTATTGATCACCTCCCTGACTGAGGCCCTTCTCCCCCGATCACTCAGCTTAGATGTCCGGCCAGCTCTAGGAAGAGTCCCGGTGGTTAAACATCCTCCACTTACGGATGATGGAGGCCGCTGTGCTCTCTGGAGCTTTCAGAGCAACAGAAATGTTTCTGTAACCTTCCCCAGCCTTCAATCCTCTCTAGGAGGTCTACAGACAATTCCTTTGTCTTCATGCTTGGTTTGTGCTTTGTCATGCACTGTTGACCCTGGGCCCTTATCTAGACAGGTGTAGCCTTTTCAGATCAGCTGAATTGAGCACAGGTGAACTCCAATGAAGCTGCTGAAACATCTCCAGAATGATCAGTGGAGACAGAATGAACCTGAGCTCAATCTAGAGCTTCACACCAAAGCCTGTGAACACTGATGTACATGTGATTTATCAGCTTTTATTTTTTATTTTAAAACTCTCTCCACATTGTCATTATGGGGGATTGTGTGTAGAATGTTGAAGAAATCAATCAATTTAATCCATTTCGGAATAAGGCTGTAACATAAACAAATGTGGAAAAAGTCAACCGCTATCAATACTTTCCATATGCACTGTATATATATATATATATATAGTGTGTCTAAGCGTGTATATATTTTTAGTGCATGTATATGTGAGCATGTGAGTGTATAAATATAATATAATATAATATATAATTTGTGTGTGTGAGAGTGTGTGTGTGTGTTTATAATGTATATAGTGTGTGTGTATAGTGTGAGTAGTATGTGCGTACATGTGTAAGTGACTGTGTGTGTGTGTGTGTGTGTGTGTGTGTGTGTGTGTGTGTGTGTGTGTGTGTGTGTGTGTGCTCGAGCGAGTGTGTGTGCATGTGTGTGTGTGTGATCACACAGTTGAGTTATTTGCTGTTGGTTGTGGAGTGAATCTGTCATATGAATCTGTCAAGATGAGTCATGATTAAGAAAGTAAAAGCAGAACTTCCAGTTTCCACTAGTGTGCTTGTGTGTGTGTGTGTGTGTGTGTGTGTGTGTGTGTGTGTGTGTGTGTGTGTGTGTGTGTGTGTGTTTATGAGCCTCAGCAACTCTGAATAATGCAGAAACACCACCACATTACAGTTTATCATCTATCATTTACACTAAAACACTACAGCTGATCTTCACCAACACACAACAGTGCAGAAATCTGCATCTGACAGTTATTATTCAGACGTGTGTGTGTGTGTGTGTGTGTGTGTGTTTATGTCATTTGTGTCCACATTTGTTTGTTTACTTATTGTTTAATTATTTGTTTATCTGTTTGTTTGTGCATTTGTTTGTTCTTTAGCTTAATTGCTTAAGCATTTGTTTGTTTGTAAGTGTGTTTGTTTGTTTTTTGTTTGATCGTTTGTAAGTGTGCTTGTTTTGTGTTGGTTTGTTTGTGTATTTTTGTTTTTGTGTTTGTTTTTGTTTGTGTTAGATTTTTGTTTCTTTGAACGTGTATTTGTTTTTTTTTGTTTGTTTGTAAGTGTTTGGTTTTTGTTTTTTTGTTTGTAAGTGTGCTTGTTTTGGTTTTTTGTTTGTTTGTTTGTTTGTTTGTTTGTGTTTGTTTTTGTTTGTTTGTGTTTCATTTTTGCTTGTTTGTATGTGTGATTGTTTTGGGTTTGTTTGTTTGTGTATTTTTTGTTTGTGTGTTTGTTTGTGTTTAATTTTTGTTTGTTTGTAAGTGTGCTTGTTTTTTTGTTTGTGTATTTTTTGTTTGTGTGTTTGTTTTTGTTAGATTTTTGCTTGTTTGTAAGTGTGCTTGTTTTTTTGTTTGTGTATTTTTTGTTTGTGTGTTTGTTTGTTTTTTGTTTGATCGTTTGTAAGTGTGCTTGTTTTGTGTTGGTTTGTTTGTGTATTTTTGTTTTTGTGTTTGTTTTTGTTTGTGTTAGATTTTTGTTTCTTTGAACGTGTATTTGTTTTTTTTTGTTTGTTTGTAAGTGTTTGGTTTTTGTTTTTTTGTTTGTAAGTGTGCTTGTTTTGGTTTTTTGTTTGTTTGTTTGTTTGTTTGTTTGTGTTTGTTTTTGTTTGTTTGTGTTTCATTTTTGCTTGTTTGTATGTGTGATTGTTTTGGGTTTGTTTGTTTGTGTATTTTTTGTTTGTGTGTTTGTTTGTGTTTAATTTTTGTTTGTTTGTAAGTGTGCTTGTTTTTTTGTTTGTGTATTTTTTGTTTGTGTGTTTGTTTTTGTTAGATTTTTGCTTGTTTGTAAGTGTGCTTGTTTTTTTGTTTGTGTATTTTTTGTTTGTGTGTTTGTTTTTGTTAGATTTTTGCTTGTTTGTAAGTGTGCTTGTTTTTTTGTTTGTGTATTTTTTGTTTGTGTGTTTGTTTGTTTTTTGTTTGATCGTTTGTAAGTGTGCTTGTTTTGTGTTGGTTTGTTTGTGTATTTTTGTTTTTGTGTTTGTTTTTGTTTGTGTTAGATTTTTGTTTCTTTGAACGTGTATTTGTTTTTTTTTTGTTTGTTTGTAAGTGTTTGGTTTTTGTTTTTTTGTTTGTAAGTGTGCTTGTTTTGGTTTTTTGTTTGTTTGTTTGTTTGTTTGTTTGTGTTTGTTTTTGTTTGTTTGTGTTTCATTTTTGCTTGTTTGTATGTGTGATTGTTTTGGGTTTGTTTGTTTGTGTATTTTTTGTTTGTGTGTTTGTTTGTGTTTAATTTTTGTTTGTTTGTAAGTGTGCTTGTTTTTTTGTTTGTGTATTTTTTGTTTGTGTGTTTGTTTTTGTTAGATTTTTGCTTGTTTGTAAGTGTGCTTGTGTTTTTTTTGTGTGTTTTTTGTTTGTGTGTCTGTCTTTCTGTGTTTTTTTGTTTGTTTGTGTGTTTGTAAGTATTTTTGTTTGTTTGTAAGTGTGCTTGTTTTGTGTTTGTTCGTCTGTTTGTTTTTGTTTGTGTTTGATTTTATTTTGTTTGTAAGTGTGTTTGATTTTTGTTTGTTTGTTAGTGTGTTTTGTGTCTGTGTTTGTGTATGTTTTTTTGTTAGTGTGTTTGTGTGTGTTTGTTCGTGTGTGTGTTTGTTTTTGTTTGTTTGCATGTGTGTGTGTTTGTTTGTAAGTGTGTTTGTTTTTTGTTTGTGCGATTGTATGTGTGTGTGTGTTTGTTTTTTGTTTGTTGTTTGTGTGTGTGTGTGTTTGTTTGTAAAAGTGTGTTTTGTTAATGTTTGTGTTCGTTTGTTAGTACATTTGTTTGTTTATTTACCTCTGTTTGTAAGTTTTGTTTGCTTGTGTGTTTGTTTATTGAAATACTTATTTGTGTTTATGTGTGTGTTTGTTTACAGATGGGGTTCAGGAAAGTGCAGGTCAAGAGAAAGGTAAAGCACAAATTAATAAACACACAAACAATAATGAAGGTTTAGAATCTGCACACTCTATAAAGTGAAGAATAGCAATAAACAAGATTTGTTAAACCTGAAGGGCGACGCAGTGGTGCAGTGGGTAGCACGTTTGCCTTACAGCAAGAAGGTTGCTGGTTCAAGCCTTAGCTGGGTCAGTTGATGTTTCTGTGTGGAGTTTGCATGTTCTCCCCGTGTTGGTGTGGGTTTCCTCCGGGTGCTCCAGTTTCCCCCACAGTCCAAAGATATGTGTGTCCTAATATTGTCCGTAGTGTATGTGTGAATAAGTATGGATGTTTCCCATTAAGGGGTTGCGGCTGGAAGGGCATCCGCTGCCTAAAAACGTGCTGGATAAGTTGGCAGTTCATTCCAGATTAAATAAAGTGACTAAGTTGAAAAGAAAACCAATGAATGAATATTAAACCTGAATAAGTTAGTTATAAAATAAAATAAAAAAGGGAATATTATAATTTTAGGTGTAAAAAGTTACAATAATTTAACTTTAAGCAAACATTGAAGCATGAAGCATGTATATATGCAAATAGTCAAAATGATAAAAAATGATGAAATTATGAAAAATGTAATTAGTTGATAATAATGAGAATTTATTTAAACAAAAATGACTGAAAAAATGATCAAATTATGAATGAGGAGCTTAGTGGACTGACACACAACAATAATAATAATAATAATAATAATAATAATAATAATAATAATAATAATAATAATAATAATAATAATAATAATAATAATAATAATAATCTCCACAGTGGAATGAACCAACAATTAATCCAGCATATGTTTTACGCATGCAGCAGATGCCCTTCAAGCTGCAGCCCATCCCGGGGAAACAACCACACTCATTCACACACATAAACGACACTTCAGCCTTCCCAATTCGCCTGTACCGCATGTGTTTGGACTTGTGTGGAAAACCAGAGCACCCGGAGAAAACCCACACAAACGCAGAGAGAACATGCAAACTCCACACAGAAACACTAACTGACCCAGCTGAACCAGTGGCCTTCTTGCTGTGAGGCGAAAGCACTACCTACTGTGCCACCACATCGCCAATAATAATAATAATACATGTTGTTATTATTATTATCATTATTGTTATTATAAAAATAAATAAACAATTAAGACATGAAAAGATTTAAAGACTCCTGAATAAACTGAAGGGTGTTTTTCCTGTAGAAGTAGATCCTGACATTACTGTACAGAGCTTGTTGCAGCATGCTTGGAGTAATTAATTAAGTCATTTTGTGTGTGTGTGTGTGTCGTTACAGCTCACAGCGCCGGAGCGGTTTCTGGCTCAAACGGTATCAGCATTCATTATGTTTTTTATTTTTTATTTTTACATTTAAGCGTTTGTGAAAGAGTTTGCATGCATGATCCTCCACTTTTACTGTGCTTTAGGTGAAAATATGAAGAGTCCATTAATAACAGAAGTAATCAGAGATGCTTGAACTAACATCAACAAAAGAAAGAGCTATAAATATTTATTTATATATCTTTTATTATATTAGTTAGAACTGTTACAGTGTGTAGTGTATGTGTGTTTCTGTATGTGTGTGTGAGTACACACTAACCGGCCACTTTATTAGGTACACCTGTCCAACTGCTCAATAATGCAAATTTCTAATCAGCCAATCACATGGCAGAAACTCAATGCATATAGGCATGTAGACATGGTCAAGACGATCTGCTGCAGTTTAAAGCGAGCATCAGAATGGGGAAGAAAACACGTCCAACCTTGAGGCGGATGGGCTACAGCAGCAGAAGAGCACACCGGGTGCCGCTTCTGTCAGCTAAGAACAGGAAACTGAGGCTACAATTCACACAGACTCACCAAAACTGCACAATAGAAGATTGGAGAAACGTTGCTGCTCTGATGAGTCTCCATTTCTGCTGACACATTTGGATGCTCGACTCAGACTTCGGCCTCAACAACATGAAAGCATGGATCATCCTGCCTTGTATCAGCGGTTCAGGCTGGTGGTGGTGGTGTAATGGTGTGGGGGAGATTTTCTTTGGGTCCATTAGTACCAATTGAGCATCAACGCCACAGCCTACCTGAGTATTGCTGCTGACCATGTCCATCCCTTTATGAGCACAGTGTCTCCATCTTCTGATGGCTACTTCCAGCAGGATAACGCAGCATGTCATAAAGCTCAATCATCTCAGACTGCTTTCTTGAACATGACGATGAGTTCACTGTACTCAAATGGCCTCCACAGTCACCAGAGCTCAATCCAATAGAGCAGCTTTGGGATGTGGTGGAACGGGAGATTGGCATCATGGATGTGCAGCCGACAAATCTGCAGCAACTGTGTGATGCTATCATGACAATATGGAGCAAAATCTCTGAGGAATATTTCCAGTAGGGGTCCAGCCTGGTACAAGTAAAGTGTACCTAATAAAGTGGCCAGTGAGTGTATGTGTAAGTGATTGATAAGCCGCTCTGAGAGCAGACACACATCCTTTATGACATGATAATAAACATTATCAGGCTAGATCTTATCTGAACCTACTATCAGGCAACATGATGACGCTCAAAAACTGAATTATCAGATCAAACCTCAAAATGATGAAGTATAATAAAAGGAGATGACAAGCCGGTCCGAAAACAAAGTCAAAATAGACGCAATAGATCATCTTAATGAGACGGCATGTCAAGATTATCACTAAGTGTGTGTTCTGACAAAAGGATGAGATCACTTCATTTTATTTCATAATTAAAGTCCTGGTATGTCATAATTGTGACATTTAAATCATCAATATAATTAACCAGAGCTACATTGTTGGTATACAGCCACATATACAGCTGATGGTAAAAGTATTCACCCCTGCACTGTACTTCTAAAACGATTAGCTGCCTTTACTTAAAATAACGAGTAAACCTTTTGCCTTGAAGTGAATGAACTGTGTGCATAATTAAAAAAAAATGAAGTTAACTTAACTCTTCAAAGCTATTTACTTTAAAGAAGTACCTGCGTTTCCATACAGTGTGTGAATGTTTAATGTTGAACAGATTCAGGAATTGTTCACAGTATTTCCTCTAATATTGTTTCTTCTAGAGAAAGTCTTATTTGTTTTATTTGGGCTAGAATAAAAGCAGTTTTAATAGTTTTAAAGCCATTTTAAGCTCAATATTATTCGCCCCTTCAGCAATATTAGTGTTGGATTGTCTCCAGAACAAACCACTGTTATACAATGACTTGCCTAATTACCCTAACTTTACCCTAATTACCCTAGTGAAGCCTTTACATGTCACTTTAAGCTGAATACTAGTGTCTTGAAGAATATCTAGTCTAATATTATGTGCTGCCATCATGACATAAAGAAAATAAATCAGTTATTAGAGATGAGTTATTAACACTATTATTATTAGAAATGTGTTGCAGAGATCTGCTCTCAGATAAACCACATTTATTAAACAATTTTAATTGAACAGGAGGGCGAATAATTCTGACTTTAGCCGTATGCAGTAGTCAATATTTAAAGAGGATCAAAACATTCAATCGAAGTTGTCCTTAAATTATTCTACAACATTTGAAAGCTTGTTTGATCATCTTCATATGTCGACTCTCCTGTTTATGTCAGTGATGTGTGTAGCTGCAGTGTCTGTGCTGTGATGCTGCCCTCTGCTGGACCACTGCACTGACAGCAGAAGAGGAGTCTGTGTTAATAAACTGTAATAGCTGCAGGGTTCCACACAACGCCTTCATGTTATCCCAACACAAATCAATTAAGTTAACTTCATCATTTTTACAAATGTAAACCTTGTGTGCTGCTGGGTCATTTTCATCCACTCTGGGCTGATTGTGTGGCTTCATTTGTCCGCATCTTTCTCTGCGTTTCAGCAAAATGCAATGATTTTTGCAGACAAATCTTATTATGACAGGTATATTAGGAAAATACTTTGGAATTTGTCAAACACTCAACATACACTGCAAATACCCTGCCTAAATACCTTAGCAACCTCCCACAACCCCCAACAACAACTAACATAAAAACTCCCTAGCAACCTCCCAGAACCCCACAACCACTACTTGCATAACAACATGCTAGCCTTAACCTAAGAATGACTACCTACACAATAAAAACCTTAGCAACCACCCAGAGCCCCCCTAACTACCTACATACCAACATAGCAACTTCAAAGAACACCTCCCTAAAAAAATATTCACCTGCATAACAACACCCTAGCAGTTTCCCAGAACCCCTTAAACAACTATTGTTATTTCAACCTCTCATAACCAACCTAGCAACCACCCCAAATCCCCCAATAACTACCAACAGAGTGATACCCAGGCAACCACTCAGAATACCCAGCCACTACCTACATAACAACACCCTAGCAACCACCCAGAATTCCTTACCAACATCTACATGGCAACACCCTAGCAACCACTCAGAATCCCCAGCCACTATTTACATAGCAACACTCTAGTAAACACCCAGAATCTCTTACCACCATCTACATAGCAACACCCTAGCAACCACTCAGAATCCCCTAACACTATTTACATAGTGACAACCTAGCAACCATCCAGAATCATCAACCACTACCTACAAAACAACACCCTAGCAACCACACAGAATTCACAACCACTATGTACATAGCAAAACCATAGCAATGACCCAGAATCCCCAACCACTACCTACCAAGCAACACCCTAGCAACCACCCAGAATCTCAACCAATACCTACATAGCAACATCCTAGCAACCACCCACAATCCCCAACCAGTATGTACATAGCAACACTCTAGCAACCACCCATATTTCTCAGCTATTACCTACATAGCAACACACTAGCAACCACCCAGAATCTCCCAATAAGTATCTATAATGTGATACCCTAGCAACCACCCAGAATCCCCAGCCACTACCTACATGGGCAACCCCCTAGAAACCACACAGAATCCTCAGCCACTATCTACATAGCAACACCCTAGCAACCACCCAGAATCTCCCAATAAGTATCTATAATGCGTTACCCTAGCAACCACCCAGAATCCCCAGCCACTACCTACATAGCAACCCCCTAGAAACCACACAGAATCCTCAGCCACTATCTACATAGCAACACCCTAGCAACCACCCAGAATCTCCTAATAAGTATCTATAATGCGTTACCCTAGCAACCACCCAGAATCTCCCAATAAGTATCTATAATGCGTTACCCTAGCAATCACCCAGAATCCCAAACCACTACCTACACAGTGACACCCTAGTAACCACTCATAATCTCAACCTTTACCTATATAGCAACATCCTAGCAAGCACCCAGAATCCCCAACCACTATCTACATAGCAACACTCTAGCAACCACCTAGAATCCTCAGCTACTACCTACACAACAACCCCCTAGCAACCACACAGAATCTCTAACCACTACCTACATAGCAACAACATAGCAACCAGCAGAATCTTTAACTACTGCCTACATAGTGACACCCTAGCAACCACCCAGACTCCTCAACCCCTTCCTACATATTGACTCTCTAGCAACCACCCAGAATCCCCTTAAAAAGTACCTACATAGCAACACCCTAGAAACCACACAGAATCCCCAAATAAGTATCTACATAGCAACACCCTAGCAACCACACAGAATCCCCAACCACAACTCACAAAGTAACAACCTAGCAACCATCCCGAAGGCCTTAGTAACCATCTAAAACTCAATAAAAGCTACTTAGCATTCTATGAACCCCAAAGAATCCCATAAAGTCTACCTAGCAACACCCTAGCAACCCCGCAGCTCACTGGAGCTGCCAGACGTGACTGACCTGCTGTGTTGTTGTGTGCAGACAGTGGATCTGGGACGGTTGTCGGTGTGGTCTGCGGGATCGCAGTAGCAGCTGTTGGAGCCATAACCGGATACTTCACCTACCAGAAGAAGAAGCTCTGCTTCAAGGCCCAGAGAGGTGTGTGCATCTAGAAGACAATCAGATGAGAATCAGTCAAATACAGTCTTAATTATAAACACATTATTATACATGTGAGGTGTTTAAATCAGGGGTGAACAACCCTGTTCCTGGAGATCCACCTTCCTGCAGAGTTCAGCTGCAACCTGGATCATACACACGTCTTTAACAGGGTATCTGCAGGGTCTTAAAAAGTCTTAAAATGTTTAAGCCGGCAGCTAGCTCTCTGCAACTCTCACATGGTCGCCCACTGAAGCTAAGCAGAGCTGCGCCTGGGTGGGAGACCACATGGGAAAGCTAGATTGCTCCCGGAAGTGGTGTTAGTGAGGCCAGCAGGGGGTGCTCAACCTGCAGTCTGTGTGGGTCCTAATGCCCCAGTATAGTGAAGGGGACTCTACACTGCCCGGTGAGCGCCGTCTTTCGCATGAGAGGTTAAACCGAGGTCCCGACTCTCTGTGGTCGTTAAAAATCCCAGGATGTCCCTGGAAAAAAAGTAGGAGTTTAACCCCAGCATCCTGGTCAAATCTGCCCACTGGCCTCTGTCCATCATGGCCTCCTAACCCTCCCCATATTCAATTGGCTTCATCTCTGTCTCCTCTCCACCAATCAGCTGGTGTGTGGTGTGCTGTCTGGCGCATCCAGGTGGATGCTGCACACTGGTGGTAGATGAGGAGACCCCCCTTTGAGTGTCTAGAAATGCACTATATAAATGTAAGGAATTATTAATATTATTATTATTATTAAATTTCAAAAACCAAATTTTAGTCCGTAAAAAGTCTTAAATTCACTGAAATATTGTGTTGTAGGTCTTAAATAATTTTAAACGGGTGTTAATTTTTTTCTATGTGCATTAAAAGCTATACCCAATTGAGCCAACACCCATCCAATCATTAACAATGCATTTCAATAAAAGTTAAGAAACGTTTATTTATTTACTTATTAATATGGTTTAATTATCCTCCTTACATTAACACTTGTTTTTAATGTTTTAACTTGGCTATTTAAAACATTTTTTTTGGCGTTTAGCCTTGTGCAAGTCTGAAATTTCATTCATTATGGTCTTAAAAGGGTCTTAAAAAGTCTTAAATTTGACTTGATAAAACCTGTAGAAACCCTGATTTAATTACCAACTGCTCCTTCAGATCCTACTTAGGCACAGAAATGGGCATCTTTATGAAGTGTATAAGTTACCCCACTTTCAATAATAAAAGAAATGTCCGCATGAAAATTATTAAAACATTTTTGTGATGTTTGTTAAGGGCACACTGAACCAACAGGGGGCGATAATGACGATGTTATACTTTTTACTACATTGTTTGTATATGATGCATTATACTACTGTAGTTCAGCCGCAGTGACCATATCATATGTTCATGCATCATGCTTTCAGATACTACTCATGAATAACAGTAGGCCAGGCATGTCCAAACTACGGCCCGCGGGCCATCTGCGGCCCGCAATCAGTTTTTTGGCGGCTCGCGGCGAGGCTTTTTATAAATATCAATAGAATCTGGCCCGCTATACAAAAATGAACGTAATTCAATAAATAACCACCGGGTGTCGCTATGACATGCATTCAATTAAGCAGCAGTTCTTGTTATGATCTATCTATCTGTCTGCCTGTCTGTCTGTCGGTATGTCTATCTATCTATCTATCTATCTATCTATCTATCTATCTATCTATCTATCTATCTATCTATCTATCTATCTATCTATCTATCTATCTATCTATCTATCTATCTATCTATCTATCTATCTATATATCTATCTATCTATATATCTATCTATCTATCTACACACAGTTGAAGTCTGAATTATTAGCCCCTCTTTGATTTATTTCTTCTTTTTTAAATATTTCCCAAATGATGTTTAACAGAGCAAGGACATTTTTACAGAATGTCTGATAATATTATTTCTTTTGGAGAAAGACTTTTGTTTTATTTCGGCTAGAATAAAAAGCGGTTTAAATTTTTTTAATGAACCATTTTAAGGTCAAAATTATTAGCCCCTTAAGTCTTCAGATCAAACCATTGTTATAAAATAACTTCCCTAATTACCTTAACTTAACAAGTTAACTTGCTTAACCTAGTTAAGCCTTTAAATGTCACTTTAAGCTGTATAGAAGTGTCTTAAAAATATCCAGTCAAATATTATTTACTGTCATCATGGCAAAGATAAAATAAATCAGTTATTAGAAATGAGTTACTAAAACTAATATGTTTAGAAATGTGTGGAAAAAAAAATCTTCTCTCCGTTAAACAGAAATTGGGGAAAAAATAAACGGGGGCTAATAATTTAGGGGGGCTAACAATTCTGACTTCAACTGTATTTATATATATATATATATATATATATATATATATATATATATATATATATATATATATATATATATATATATATATATGCGTGTCTGTGTGATGTATGTAAAATTTGGCCCGCGACAACGTTTGTTTTTTTGCATCTGGCCCTCGGCCCAAAAAGTTTGGACACCCCTGCAGTAGGCAGTATAGCATACATATGCTGGTGTTCTGCATCATTATCTTGACAGTCAGCTATGTTTGATGCAGGTAGTAGCACACAAAACCCACACAGTTCACATGTAAAGCTGAGTGATCAAAAACTCATTCATTCAGATGCATCTGAGCTGTGCTGTAGTAATTGCAGCGCAGCGTGTTTTGATATAATATGGCATCATTCTCTACAGTTTAATTCATTCCAACCAACATCTGTCTCAACATTAGTGTGAGCCAGTCAGTGTGTTAACTGCTGAATGAGAACATATGCTTTCTCCTCAGGTGATGTCGAGAGCGCCAAGCAAGAGAACGGCACACAGAGCGACCCACAGGGTGAGCAGATCATGGATTATTCTCACTCAGTGTTATTATATTCATATGCCATTGCATAACAGCATAAACTAGAGCTGTAGAGTGTTGCAGAGACAAACAACAAACACAAGTCAATGAGCACAACTACCCTGCTGAAAAATCCAGCTTAAACCAGCCTAGGCTGGTTAGCTGGTTTTAGCTGGTCGACCAGCCTGGTTTTAGAGGGTTTTTTCATTTCCAGCCTGGTCTTAGCTGGTCAGGCTGGAAAATGAACAGCCTAATCCAGCTAAAACCAGCTTGACCAGCCTGGTTTAAGCTGGATATAGCTGGTTTTGGCTGGTCTCCCAGCTTGGCTAGGCTGGTCAAGCTGGTTTTAGCTGATCATCTCCCAACCTGACCAGCTAAGACCAGGCTGGAAATGGCTGGAAACCAGCCTGGAAGTGGCCAAAACCCCTCTAAAACCAGCCTGGCCGACCAGCTAAAACCAGCCAACCAACTTAGGCTGGTTTAAGCTGGATTTTTCAGCAGGGTAACCATGAAACTCTGTGCTGAATAACAACAACTCATAGAATAGATGAGAATCACTTCCTAAAACACCCCAACATACACCTAGCAACCACCAATAATATCCTATGATGGGAGCCACAAGAAGTCCCAGGCTACCTGGCAGCACATTAGCTACATCCCCCGGAACCCCTAACAACTACCTAACAACACTATCAACAACCCAATATCTTCTACCAACTAACTAGCATTGCCAGATCATAAACGTTTTATCTTCGCAAGACACCCAAACTTCAACTAGCAACACCTTAGCAACCACGCAGAACACCCTCTAACAACTAATAAGCAACACCCTAGCAACCACCAGAAACCCTTTAGAACTGTCTGTTAATGTTTGGGAAGCACAAAGAACCGCCTGGCAACATCCTGGTTACCATTACAAACCTCTTAACAACTACCTTGCAACCACCTAGAACCCAGAACAACTATCTAGAAACGCCCTAGCAACTTCCCCAAACCTCCTAATGGCTAACTAGCAACAGCCTAGCAACCACTCAAAAACCTGGTACTTAAACCATCTAAATTACCTGGTTTGGCAAGCACAAAGACCTTCCAGTAACACTCTAGTTATCATCTAAAGTCACTTAACTACTACATAGCAACACCCTAGCAACCACTCAGAGCCTTCTAACTAACTAGCAACACCCTACCAACAATCCCCTGACAACAACCAGTCATCAGTATTCAATCAGTATTTTGGGGGATAACAAATAACCCTCTTGCAACACTCTAGAAAAACCACAACAACTACCTAGCAACTAGTAAAAATTATTCAATAATAATAATAATAATAATAATAATAATAATAATAATAATATTAATAATAGCAAAACAAATGAATGTTTAGTTGTTTAATTATATTATTTTATGATATGTTGTGTAGTTAAACACAGTAAGCAGTTCCAGAAAACCTGTATTATTATTATATTTATTTATGTTTATTATACATCATTATATATGATTGTCATTATTCTGAATAATGTCTGGTTTGTGTGTGATTATCTGCAGTTTTAAGCACTCTACTGGACTCCTCTTCATAACCAGAGCTCTGAACTGAAGATACTGTGAACTGATTTACATTGAACTGTGGAGGATCAGGATGAAGAGACACGCGCACGCACGCACACACACACACACACACACACGCGCGCACACACACACACACACACACACACACACACACACACACACACACACACACACACACACACACACACACACACACACACACACACACACACACACACACACACTTTGACATCAGTTCTCTATAGCAGAGACTTTAGGACTGTTCATGATTTTTCTGAATGTAATTTCCTTTTGAATGGGATGCGATCCCTGCTGAAAAATCCAGCTTAAACCAGCTGGTTTTAGCTGGTCGACCAGCCCGGTTTTAGAGGGGTTTTTGGCCATTTCCAGCCTGGTTTCCAGCCATTTCCAGGCTGGTTTCCAGCCATTTCCAGCCTGGTCTTAGCTGGTCAGGCTGGAAAATGACCACCTAAATCCAGCTAAAACCAGCTTGACCAGCCTGGTTTATTAAGCTGGACATAGCTGGTATTGGCTGGGCTTCCAGCCTGGCTAGGCTAGTCAATATAGCATCTCCCAGCCTTACCAGCTAAAACCAGGCTGGAAATGGCCAGCTTAGGCTGGTTTAAGCTGTTTTTTTAGTAGGGATGTGTGTGTGCATACTTGTTTATGTGGTTAACGAGGACACTAATGTGTATAATGACATGGGTATGATGCAGTTGTTCTCAATTGCAGTGCTTTATGAGGACATGTCTTGTGTGCAAGCAATTCAAAACTGTTAAAATCTTACTTGACGTTTTTTAACATTTACAATTTGCCAAAGTCTGATTGTAAAGGTTTGGTTTAAGGCCATAAATTAAGCGATTCTTGTTTTTTTTTGCTGTATAAAGTACATTACGCCTATGTAGAGTCCCTGTAAACCACATACACAAGTAGGTGAACATACTTGTTTAGATGGTTTATGAGGACACTAATGTGTATAATGACATGGGTATGACAGTTGTACTCTATTATTGTGCTTTATGAGGGCGTATTGTGTCCTTACAACACAAAACTACTTTAGAAATCCTACTTTACAGGGTTTGTCACATTAAAAATGCACAACAGTTGTTTTTTTGTAAAGGTAAGGGTCATATATTAAGTGATTTTATTTGATGTATAAATACATTGTCTACGAGGAGTCCCTGTAAACCACATACACAAGCATGTGTATGTGTACATACTTGTTTATGTGGTTTACGAGGACACTAATGTGTATAATGACATGGGTATGACGTAGTTGTACTCTATTGCAGTGCTTTATGAGGACATGTCTTGTGTCCTTACAATTCAAAACTGTTAAAGTCATACTTTAGAGTTTTTAGCATTTAAAATGTGCTCGTTTAAGGGTTAAGGCCACATAATAATTTTACTGTATAAAATGCATACGCTATGTAGAGTCCCTGTAAACCGTATATACAAGTGTGTGTGTGTGCACTGTATAAAATATCTGCTAATGAACAGTTTCTGTATTTTGTGCTTATTTGCGGTGGTGAACTGCATTATGGGATGTTGATCTCTGCTCTGTCCACTACTGGTGTTGAAAATTCAACTCTACGGTTTAACAAATCAAGATCAAGAGCTCATAATGCAATTCAAAAGCAGAAATAAACAGGAGAAATTAAAACATGATCACAAAATATGAAGAACTGCTAATTTACAGATATTGTTTTATAGTGCGTATAATTAGACAGGAATCCTTTCGGGAGAGGCATTTAATTTCATTGCTTAAGAAGTGTATTGTTTTTGCTGCATCATTAATCAGTTATCTTTTATGTCAAATTGTTCATCATTCATAAGGCAGATCTCACAACATGGAAACGATTTGGTCTGAGATAATCACAGAGTTTTTCTTAGTTGTTTAATTATGTAAATATGTTAAATTTGAATAAAGGTTTGATTAAATTTAAATGATGATGTATGCATTTAATGGCACCGTTTTAACGCGTATATGAAATCATCAACAACACATCGATCTGAGAAACAAAGTGAAAAACTCAGTTTTCTGGCTGTTTTAAATGTTAAATATGTGTTTATTATATTGAGCTATGATACTTTCAAATTTCAAAAAAATGACAGATGTTTTTATTTGCGTATTGAAAACTGATTTCTTAACTCTGAAGTTAAAATGTACTTTAACCGGCCACTTTATTAGGTACACTTTACCTAAGGAGTACCCCCCTTTTGCCTTACTCCTTGGTGGCAGAGATTCAACAAGCTACTGGAAATATTCCTCAGAGATTTTGCTCCATATTGTCATGATAGCATCACACAGTTGCTGCAGATTTGTCGGCTGCACATCCATGATGCCAATCTCCCGTTCCACCACATCCCAAAGCTGCTCTATTGGATTGAGCTCTGGTGACTGTGGAGGCCATTTGAGTACAGTGAACTCATCGTCATGTTCACCAGTCTGAGATGATTGAGCTTTATGACATGCTGCGTTATCCTGCTGGAAGTAGCCATCAGAAGATGGAGACACTGTGCTCATAAAGGGATGGACATGGTCAGCAGCAATACTCAGGTAGGCTGTGGCGTTGATGCTCAATTGGTACTAATGGACCCAAAGAAAATCTCCCCCACACCATTACACCACCACCAGCAGCCTGAACCGCTGATACAAGGCAGGATGATCCATGCTTTCATGTTGTCTGAGCCGAGCATCCGAATGTGTCAGCAGAAATGGAGACTCAGAGCAGCAACGTTTCTCCAATCTTCTATTGTCCAGTTTTGGTGAGTCTGTGTGAATTGTAGCCTCAGTTTCCTGTTCTTAGCTGACAGGAGCGGCACCCGGTGTGCTCTTCTGCTGCTGTAGCCCATCCGCCTCAAGGTTGGACGTGTTGTGTGTTGTGAACCAGTCTGGCCATTCTCCTCTGACCTCTGGCCTCATCAACAAGGCATTTGCGCCCACAGAACTGCCGCTCACTGGATATTTCCTTTTTGTCGGAGCATTCTCTGTAAACCCTAGAGATGGTTGTGCGTGAAAATCTCAGTAGATCAGCAGTTTCTGAAATACTCAGATCAGCCCGTCTGGCACCAACAACCATGCCACGTTCAAAGTCACCTAAATCCCCTTTCTTCCATATTCTGATGCTCAGTTTGAACAGCAGCAGATCCTCTTGACCATGTCTACATGCCTAAATGCAGTGAGTTGTTGCCATGTGATTGGCTGATTAGAAAATCACATTATCAAGCAGATAGACAGGTGTACCTAATAAAGTGGCCAGTGAGTGTATATAAAAATTTGTATTTTGTTGTTTGACATATAAATCTTTTATGCAATAACAAAAAGATTTAATTACAATACGTAATATGCAAAAACATGCAACATTTCTGTCATTTAATGCACAAAAAAACCTCAAGACATTTTGCATTTATATATGAATATAAACTATATGAAAAAACAAACCAAAATGTCATTTAAAGCTTTTTGTTTTTGCATAAAAAGCAAAAATGTTCTATTTTCATATAGATTATATTCATATATAAATATAAAAAGATGACAGAAATGTTGCATATTTTTAGACATCACACACTTAAGAACTTAACCTTTCCTTTTCTCACAGATTCAGATGTTCTGTAAATCAAATGCTGTACATGACAGGATATTTATTTTAAACACAATCAGACTCAATAACAGTGAATTTAAAATAATAGGTTTAATAAAATCCATATTTGCCCCATATACAGTTCCTAGGAAGCAAGGAAATATAGGATTTAATGCATGTTATAATATTAAGCAGTTGAGTACCACACTTATAGGAGAGGAAAAGTTATTTCACAGTTTTAATAAATGTTTGCACAGCAGAAGGAAGTTTTGCCAGCACACAAACAAACTGAATGAGTCTTTGTTCTCCTCTGCCGTACAATGCAGAATACACGCGCACTTAGTTTTCATTCTTTAAGATTTTATTTAAACAGTGTTACAAACTATAATAGTGACTTGTATATGTTCAATATAATAGTGTTCCCGAGTGAGCATACATAATTATATATGTATATTTTTAATTATGAAAACAAATCCAATACAGATCTGAAATGTTTTATTAACCTTTGTAGCTATTCTATTGTCAGAATTTCCACAAAGTCACCTCACTGCTCACTGTATAAACAGTTTTTTAAATCAGTTTATATTGCAAAACAACAACAACAAAAAAAAAAAAAATCAGAGATCTATTTATTATTATACATAACTTTATTCCCGATTGTCTATACAACCACTGAATGCATGGACACTGTACGCTATTTATATAGCGTACAGTACTAAATATACTATATATATATATATAGTATTTATTTTAGCTTTCTGTTATTTGTTTGTTCTTATTTTCTGCAATATTTAAACAAACAGCGCGTTGTTGAATAACGACTGCGCCTCTCCGGTGGTTTTTACGGTAATGCGTCATCCGAAAATAAACGAGGAACAATACAGCTAAACTGTATCACAAGCGGCACATTTTTGTTATTTTATAAAGAAATAACAAATAAAGTGCAGAGAAACAGGCAGAACAACAATCACGTAATAAATACGAGACTGTAAAGCGCGTTTGTTGAATATTTCCTGCGCATCTCTTGAGGTGTTTACAGTAATCGCGTCATTCACAGGTACTGCGGGAATCTGGAAGATCCTGTCAAACTCTTGAGGAGAAAAAGCGCACAGACACGCATCAAACTGAGGGGTAAAGAGCAGGTAAGCGAGTACAATCCTCACAGGACACAATCTGAACTCAACGCGCGACTTATTGAAGCAGTGCGCATGCGCGTGAAACACCGCTTTCTGTGCGAGAGACTTTGGAGGTAATAAATAATCGATTAATTAAGCTGATCTTCAGACTCTGTCTTTCACAGAAAAAGAGAACGTGTTTGCAGGAAAAGTGTTCACTTCCGTGTTCACAAAGCACAGCTCATCCGGGAATCTGCTGAGTATGATGAAGATCTGCTGATGAAGATGATGGACAGCAGGAGCCTGAGGTCTGTCAGTGTATACTGCATTACAAGTGCCGCGAGACATGCAATCAGACCAGAGTAACTGGGGGAGCCGGGCAGGGGCCACGTGTACTTTTAGGGGGCACACTTTAACATACACCACAAACTACTTAATTATTCATTATTCAAAGTCTTTTTTTTTCGTGCATCACGCTGCAGTCTTCATAAAAAAGATAATTAATAACTTAAACTCAAAATAATCTTCCTTGTTAACTTTGTATTGTAATATAGGAGAACACATTGATAACATTCAAGTACATGAAGGCACATGTTTGCACCTTGCTCGCCCTTTAATTTAAAATAATGTTTCCTGAGTGATCTTTAACAAACCAAGGAGATTTTCACAGTATGTTCTATAAAACAAAAATAATTCATCTGGAGTCATGATAAGTCTTAAGTTTTAATTTATTTAAGGTCAGTAATATTAACCTCCTTAAGAAATATTCATGATTTATTTTTTGATTGTCCATGCAACAAACCAGTCATACAATAACTTGACTAATTATTCCAACTTTCCTAGTTAACATGACCTAGTTAAGTCTTAAGACTATAGGATACTTAAAGGGACTTTATACAACTATCCTGCAAAATAACTATGAAATATAATGCACTTTCACCATGGCAAAGACAATAAAGTAGTTATTAGAAATGAATTATGTTTAAAAATGTGTTGTAAATAAATCATGTGTTGAAGACTCGTGCTTTATGACACGACTGAAAACAAAAATGAAGGCAAAACTAAACCAGCTGAATATTACTTTTACATGAGCGTGACTGAAAACTGCATTTGATCAGTGTGTTACATCTGTTCTCCGGGACTTGCCGGCTGTTTGTAAATTCAAGACTGCATTTCCTAATGTTAAACTTTGTACACTCAATTTCTGATTAATAATAGCCATGCATAGCCGAGGACTTCCTATAGTAAAAAGATCAATTTTCTGGAGACAATCCAACACTAATATTGCTGAAGGGGCGAATAATATTGACCTTAAAATGGCTTTAAAGGAATTAAAAACTGCTTTATTCTAGCCGAAATAAAACAAATAAGACTTTCTCCAGAAGAACAAATATAAGAGGAAATACTGTGAGAAATTCCTGAATCTGTTCAACATCATTTGGAAATTATTCGAGAAAACAAAATAAAATCACAGGAGGGGGCGAATAGTTCTGATTCAAGGATAATCATATCTTTAGTAGACTGTTCATAACTGACCTCCTCTGCTGTGTTTCTGCAGGAGTGTGTCTGCTCTGCTGCTCTTCCTCCAGTTCTGCTGGTGTTTCTCAGATGGAGATCAGAAATCCAGACCAAACTTTGTGCTGATGATGGTGGACGATCTGGGCATTGGAGACATCGGCTGCTATGGGAACACCACCATCAGGTCAACCCCAATAAAACCACAAATTTCTTAATTGTTTCAATCATATGTTGTGATTTTATTCTTGTAACACAATCTCTAAGGATGAACAAACAAATAATCATTTTACAAATGCAGAACTGCATAGAAACTATCACTGCAGAGATAAAGCAGTAAGAATTGTGTGTTTTTATGCATCCAGATAAAAAAAAGCATTACATTTTGGTGTCTGGACCAAATATTATTTACTATATATATATAAATATATATTAGTGCTGTCAATCGATTAAAAAAATTAACTAATTAAACACTTAAGAAAAATTAATAGCGAGTAAATATTATTTATAAATATATACTATATATATATATATATATATATATATATATATATATATATATATATATATATATATATATATATATATATTATTTACAATATATATATATATATATACTTTAATATGTATAATTATATATATATATATATATATATATATATATATATATATATATATATATATATATATATTAGTGCTGTCAATCGATAAAAAAATTAACTAATAAATCACACTTAAAAATTAATCGCGATTAATCACATTTAAAAGACTCAAACTTCTAATTTTGGCTATTCGAATGTAAAATTAATGTAAACGCAAGACAGATACTATTTAAATTCAAAATATAATTGTTTATTAGAATTTGTGTTTAACTTGTAACACAGATTTCTTCATGTAAACAACAAACTAACAATAAACCATCAAGATCTTTGCTTGACAGCCATATTTTTTACAGAAATTAAAACACAGGCTAATAAAGAAAACATTGATTTCCATGTTGGATTCCAAGTGGACTGCAAAAAACAACAAAAATACAGGCATTGCAGATATGGAAAATGGAAAATAATAATAATAATAATAATAAAGTATTGAATACAAACAATTGCAGAGCTGGACTGGGACAAAATAATCGGCCCTGGCATTTCCTACAATCAAAATGCTCCCCATCACCCCACACCCTTGAATATGTTTACCAACTCCCAGTCTATAAAAGCACAAAAGCCATTTATAGGAAATAATGAGAGCTGACAAATTAAAAACTTAAATGTTTTTATTATTAAAATAAAATTATAATCCACACTGTAAATGTGTGTGCCTGTGTGTTTTGAGGGAGCCTAATAAATAATGAACATGACAAAAACTGCCTGCTTACGCACACAGTTAATGTTGAATAAATAAAATAAAGATAAATAATAAAAGCAATGTGTCAGAGACCCTAAAAAATGTTTACCTCAACAATGAAACATCAAGTTGCACACTAGTTTGGTCATGTATAAATATCATTATAACCATATTGTTTAAATATTATTGTCACTATAAGCCTACATCATGCTGACGATCAAAAACACAATGTCATGATATGTCATGCGCTCGTCTTCTGACCGAGTGCATCTTAGGGTGCTTTCACATCTGCAGTTTGCTTCATTTGGTCCGGACCAAGGGTAATAAATGATGCATTGTTGCATTTTCTGCCGTCTTTGGGTTGTTTTCACACCACACTGCTGGCTTTGGTCCGAACCAGTTGAAACGAACCAAAATGCAGTCATGTGACAAACAACACATCTCTCATTGGCCAGATGTTGTTGAACATAGTTCCTAAACTGCTTATTGATTGGTCAGAATTCACGTGCGGGAAAATGCCAGTGAACTCCCGCAGGTAAACAAAACCTTTTACTCTGGAGGGACGACTGCGCTGGCTGATTGTAGCCCTGCTTTAGATAAACTATACATTACGAAAATGAAGCGCCGCCGTGGCTGGAAAACAGTGTTTAATGCATCGCTCGTCACTTCAGGAGGAGACGTTTATTAATTTAGCTAAACTCTGACATGGTCATCTTGTGGAAATATTACCAACGATCCATCAGCTAATGTTTTCCCCTCTCTCTCTCTCTCTGTTGGTCAAGCGCTGTCAACAAATATTTTTTCTTCATATCCCATAATGCACAGTGCATCGGCCTACCAACGTTATAATAGTTTTGGATTTTTCATTAGTTTTAGTTTCTATTTCGTTTTGACTTTTTATTTTCAAATTCAGTTAGTTTTTATTAGTTTTAGAGGTAGATTTCTTAGTTTTTATTAGTTTCTATATTTTAAAAATGTCTTAGTTTTAGTTTAGTTTTTATTAGTTTCAGTTTTTTCTAAATGAGGATATTTGTTTGGTTGAAGATTCAAAATCAACAGGATAAATATTGTATAATAAAAACTCAGCCACACATTTTTTGAAACATGTATTCAGAGAACACATGAACACTCTCATCTGCCACAACCATCTACCCATCCTCAAGTTAGACACACAGTAGTGATGGACAGGGCCGGATTAACCTATGTGCATTATGGGCTCAGGCCCAGGGGCCCGTCCGCACTTAGATTTTCTCTACTTTTCATCACCAGAAAGACAAGTGGGAATTATTAATAAGTGTGTGTATTATGGAGGACTCAGATTCCTAGATCTGGATTGGAGAGGTGTTATCCAAATCATGTGCATTATAAGTTTGTAGAAGTTATACATTAAAAATACCCTTAAATATAAATGTTAGTGCTGCTTCAGTGAACTTGAACAAGTATATTAAATTACATTAATTTCCCCTAGTTGTATTAGTATTTTTCGTTTTCAAAGTGTGCTTTAAATGCTTTAAAAATAAGTTCATAAATGTGGGCAATACATTATAAATTAATTTTATTTAACAAATATTATATGAATCTTATTTTTTAATTCAACTATGGGGTGCGGCTATAGTGGGCCTTCAAGACATTGTGCCCAGGGGCCTTTAAATTATTAATGCGGGCATGGTGATGGGAAATTCAGATTTTTAACGCAGATGTTGGGACTCAACATTATGTAGTCAGCAATAGTAATTTCAGTCAATTAAAATGATCAGAAAAGTCTTACAGTAAAGTTTTGCAACCCAACTGAATCATGATTCACTTATTTAAATTCCATTACGATTGCCTGTTATGAAATAAACTTACGTTTTTCACCAGATCCTCTCATTTAAGCCTTCGGTTTACCCGTGCTGCAGTTCTTCCAGTTCAGTTCAGTCACACAGCTGTTTTTGTTTGGTTCAATGAATCACGCATGCGCAGTATTAACGGTTCACCGCTTCTCAATGCAACGTTGCTGTTCTAATAACTGAATGAGAGTGTATATTGGATTATTTAGAGTCAGAGGGGGTATTAGGCTTGCTATAAAGTGAGTAGTTGGTGGATAAGTGCTTAATGGAGACACGAATCGTTTCAAATGATTCAGTTCGATTTGGTGAACTTGTTCAACCGGTTCACTTAGAAGATCCGGTTAAAAAGATTTGTTCGCGATCGCGATACAGAAATACAACCCATTATTGGGTACAAACGTGTTGAAGTAATAGTCTTAAGTCTCTTTATTTAATGCTGTCACCGTGCTGCTGTCATGTCCACTCGTTGCGGAAGCAACAGAGAGGATGACTGGAGGAGAGCCGACTCAATCTGGCAAATGGCAGCAGGAGACACTGAGGTGCGAAAGGGTCATACACAAACACCTGCAGCGCGGAATATATTTACTTCTAAAAGGCATATAGTATTATGTATTAAATACATTTACAAACACGAAAACGAAGGAGGTTTTTGCTATCATTTTAATTAGTTTCAGTTAGTTTTGTATATACACAATACAGTTTCAGTTAGTTCTAGTTTTTGAAAAAAAAACTCTCGTTTTTATTTTTATTTCAGTTAACGACAATTATTTTACATTTTAGTTTTCGTTTTTTCGTTAGTTTTCGTTAACTATAATAACCTTGCGGCCTACGGCAGCTGAATTAGTCCAAATTAGTCCACAGTACTTTGCGGTTGGACCTGTTTTAGTACGGATCATATTCTCACCACAGACAAACCGCTCCAGGGTTCGTTTGAAAGCGTACTGGCGTCACCTGCCCAAACCAACCGCACCAAAAGGGGAAACCAACTCTAGTGTGATTCAATCGAACTAAATAAGGCAGGTGTGAAAGCACCCTAAAAAATACACCCCTCACAGAAGCTTAGGAAGCAGAGATTCTTTATCATTTGTAAGATAAAGACTTGCTGGTTAAGGAAACAGCATAGGAGGAAGTTGCCGCGGCCCGTGGTGCAGATTAAAAGTAAAAACAAAAGTATATTTATATGGACAGATGGGTAACTAGATAGAATAGACAGGAATATATTGATCTGTGCCCCGCTGCAGAGAAATCTCGACTATTTTGACAAATACACACCTACGTTACACAGAGCCCAACATGGAAGTTTGTGATTGGGTCAGCCCAATGTCAATAAAGAAAAGAACCAATGGGCTGCAGATTATGTCACACGGCCGCTCTGTCCGGAAGCGTGACAGCTCACAGGAGCGTGACATCTCGTCAATCTGAGGCAGAAAAACATGACAGTCTGCTGAGTGTTTTATCGGCCGATCAGATCATAAGAAGAGGATCAGCCCAGCCCAAAAAGTACATCGACCCAGCGAGAAACTGCCTGGTCTGCCCGTGGCCACAACAGGAAAAAAAAACCTGCAACTGTGTTGATCGCGTAATTTTTTTTTTACGTGTTAATTATTTCAAATTAATCACATGCGTTAATTTTGACAGCACTAATATATATATATATATATATATATATATATATATATATATATATATATATATATATATTAGTCATTTTAGGACTTGATGTCTTTAATATACACAATGATTGCCGCACTGATGGGAGAGCTGACTGCTCTTTGGTTGTACTTGTGTCACTAATAATAAAGACCTCTTGTGTTCATGATTTACTCACTGCTGTTGATCTTCCGCTCCAGGGTGACTCTGAAAATGTCTGTGTGTTCGTGTGTTTTCAGGACTCCAAACATCGACCGGCTGGCGTCTGATGGGGTGAAACTGACCCATCACCTGTCGGCCGCTCCACTCTGCACACCCAGCAGAACTGCCTTCATGACGGGACGATACCCTCTGCGCGCCGGTCAGAGAACAAACATCGTCTGCCTCACATAAACACACCACAATGGCAAAAAGACTAATGTTATTTTCACCGCAGTACAGACACACTGAGGGACGGATAAATACATAATGCTAATAGGTGATTCTAGAAGTGTGGGGACAATTTAAATTTAAAACGTTTATATACAGTGCATCTGGAAAGTATTGATAGCGCTTGACTTTTACCACATTTGTTTATGTTACCGCCTTATTCCAAAATAGATTAATTTGATTGATTTCTTCAACATTCTACACACAATCCCCCATAATGACCATGTGGAGAGAGTTTTTGAAATTGATGCAGATTTATTAATAATAAAAGCTGATAAATCGGATGTACATCAGTGTTCACAGCCTTTAACATGAAGCTCTACATTGAGCTCAGGTTCATTCTGTCTCCACTGATCATTCTGGAGATGTTTCAGCAGCTTCATTGGAGTTCACCTGTGCTCAATTCAGCTGATTGCACATGATCTGAAAAGGCTACACCTGTCTATATAAGGGCCCAGGGTCAACAGTGCATGACAAAGCACAAACCAAGCATGAAGACAAAGGAACTGTCTGTAGACCTCAGCGACAGGATTGAAGGCTGGGGAAGCTTACAGAAACATTTCTGCTGCTCTGAAAGTTCCAGTGAGCACAGCGGCCTCCATCATCCGTAAGTGGAAGATGTTTGACCACCAGGACTCTTCCTAGAGCTGGCCGGACATCTAAGCTGAGTGATCGGGGGAGAAGAGCCTCAGTCAGGGAGGTGATCAATAACCCGATGGTCACTCTGTCTGAGCTCCAGTGTTCTTCTGTGGAGAGAGGAGAAGCTTACAGAAGGACAACCATCTGTGCAGCAATCCACCAATCAGGCATCTGTATGGTAGAGCGGGCAGACGGAAGACACTCCCCGCCTGGAGTTTACCATCTGAAGGACTCTCAGAGCATCAGAAACTAAACTCTCTGCTCTGATGAGACTCAAACTGAACTGTTTGGAGTGAACGCCAAGCGTTACGTGTGGAGAACAGCAGGCGGCGCTCATCAGCAGGCTAACAGCATCCCTACAGTGCAGCATGGTGGTGTTGGCATCATGCTGTGGGGATGTGTTTCAGCAGCAGGAGCTGGAAGACTAGTCAGGATAGAGGGAAAGATGAATGCAGCGATGTACAGAGACATCCTGAATGAAGACCTGCACAAGAGTGCTCTCCACCTCAGACTGGGGCGACGCTTCATCTTCCAGCAGGACAATGACCCAAAGCACACCGCCAACATATCAATGCAGCAGCACAACAACAACTCGGGGAATGTGCTTGAGTGGCCCAGCCAGAGCCCAGACCTAAATCCTATTGAGCATCTCTGGAGAGATCTGACAATGGCTGAACACCGTCACTTCCCATCCAACCTGATAGAGCTTAAGAGATCCTGCAAAGAGGAACGGGCAGAAATTCCCAAAGACAGCTGTGCAGAGCTTGTGGCGTCATATTCAAGAAGACTTGAGGCTGTAATCACTGCCAAAGGAGCATCAACAGAGTATTGAGCAAAGCAAGTGAATACTGATGTACATCTGATTTATCAGCTTTTATTTTTAATAAATCTGCAACAATTTCACAAACTCTCTTCTCATTGTCATTATGGGAGATTGTGTGTAGAATGTTGAGGAAATCAATCAGTTTAATCCATTTTTGGAACAAGACTGTAACATAAACAAATGTGGAAACAGTGAAGCGCTGTCAGCACTCTCCAGATACACTGTGTGTGTGTGCGCATGTGTGTTTGTTTCTGTGTAACAATGTGTACATGTTTGTTTATGTTTGTCTATGTGTATGTATCTACATGTTCATGTGTGTGTTTGTTAGTGTATTTATTTGCATTAATGTGTGCATATGTATGTGTGTACATATGAATTCATGTCTGTGTTTGTGTATGTTCATGTGTAGGTATGGGCAGCACGGGTCGTGTTCAGGTGATCTTGTTTCTGGCTGGATCTGGAGGTCTTCCTCCAAATGAAACCACCTTCGCCAAACTGCTGCAGAAGCAGGGCTACACCACCGGCATTGTGGGTAAGAGAGACACACACACACACACGCTGCTTTTCTGTATGTATCAGTGTGTTCTCGTCTTCAGCAGTGTGTGTTCTGGTTTTCAGGTAAGTGGCACCTGGGTGTGAACTGCGAGAGCCGCTCTGACCTCTGCCATCACCCTAACAACCACGGCTTTGACTTCTTCTACGGTCTGCCGTTCACGCTGTTCGTGGACTGTGCGGTGGGCGCGGGGTCCGGAGTGCTGCTGGACTATCAGGAGATGCTGCTGAACTCCTGTAAGCTGCTGCTGGTGTGTGTGCTGACTCTGCTGGCCCTCAGGGGCTCCGGGCTCCTGTGCGCCGGCTGGAGGCTCCTGTTCCACCTGTCCGCCGCCGCGCTGATCTGCTTCCTGCTGTGGTTTGTGCCGTTCGGGCTGCTGCGCGTCTGGAACTGCATCCTCATGAGGAACGGAGAGGTGGTGGAGCAGCCGATGAACCTGCAGACGCTCAACAGCAGACTCATGAGGGAAGCAGAGCAGTTCATGGAGAGGTGAGGAGCTGTGCCTAATATATCATGGTGTGTTTATGCTTTAGAAGAGTCAAAAGCGCACATCCAGAACATTTAAAGGGCACGTATGATGTACAATCATCTGTTGAAGGTCGCTGTTTTCTCATGGAATATTTCGTTTCTCTAAAACGGTCGCAGCTTCTGGTTCATGTGGACTTTAATATATTCAGTGAGCCTTTAGTGACCTCGGGAGCAGATTGATGCACACCCTGATCCTCTGTCATGTGATTTGTGATGTCAGACACAGAGACGGGCCGTTCCTGCTGTTCGTGTCGTTCCCGCAGGTTCACACGCCGATGTTGGTCACTGAAGGGTTCGCCGGGAAAAGCAGACATGGGCTTTATGGAGACAATGTGGAGGAGGTGGACTGGATGGTCGGTGAGTGACTCTAATATGTGATGATCAGTACAACTATAAGAATCAGACAGTAATCTGGCCAGAGGGGGCGTGGCTACTGCTCTAATGTGATTGGTGGATGGTAAAACCTTTGAGAGGCTCAGACTTTTGCACAAATCTGTCTAAAAGGTATGGAGCAAGTGCAGGGTCATTATATTTGGGTGAACTGTACCTTTATTATACAGACTGAAACTATGGGAAACACGTACACAACATCCAGAGCAAAATTACTTGTGTTTACCATGACCTCTGTAGCACCGGTGTTTTCTGAAATGATGCGAGTGAATGAATGAATAGAATTAGTTAATTCATTCATTCATTCATTCATTCACTCGCTCACAGCAAGAGATCTTTCTTAGATTTAGCATGCTCTTTCTTTTTCTCTCCAGGTGAATCTCACACTGCCTGAACATACAGTATATTATATATCACTATAATGGATCAAACTTCTGTGTATTTTCAATACAAATTCATTAATTTACTCATTCACTCACTCATATCAACTCATTCAATCATTAACTAATTCATTCATTATCTCATTCATCCACTCATTCATTTAGTCATTCACTCACTCATTCACTCACTCATTTACTCACTCAAACTCACTCATTCATTAAGTCACTCATTCATTAAGTCGCTCGCTCACTCACTCATTCACTCAGTTCATTAATTCATTCACTCACTCACTCATTGATTCACTCACTTTATCATTAACTAATTCACTTATTCATTCATTCACTCACTTATTCAGTTGCTCATTCATTAACTCATTCATTCATTAACTCACTCATCCACTCACTCACTCAATCATTCACTAGCTCATCAATTCACTCACTCACTTGGTCATTCATTCAGTCCTTCACTCACTTGGTCATTCACTCAGACATTGACTCACTCGTTCATTAACTCACTCATTCATTAACTCATTCATCCACTCAATCATTCCATTCATTCATTCATTGACTCATTCATTCGCTCACTCATTGATTCACTCACTTTTACATTAACCCTTTCACTTATTTATTTACTCATTCATTTGCTCATTCATTAACTCATTTATTCATTAACTCATTCATTCATTCACTAACTCACTTGGTCATTCATTCAGACATTGACTCAATCACCCATTCATTAAGTCATCCACTCAATCATTCCACTCACTCGCTCGCTCGCTCATTCATTCATTGACTCATTCATCCACTCACTCATTCTCTCAGTCCATTAATTCATTCACTTACTTATTAACTCATTCACTTGCTTACTCATTGATTCAATCACTTTATAATTAACTTATTCACTTATTCATTCATTCACTCACTTATTCACTTGATCATTCATTAACTCATTCATTTATTAACTCACTTGTCCACTCATTCTCTCTCTCACTCAATTATTTACTAATTTCATTAACTCATTCATTCATTAGCTCAGTTCACTCACTCACTTGGTCATTCATTCAGTCTTTCACTCACTCACTTGGTCATTCACTCAAGACATTGACTCACTCATTCATTAACTTACTCATTCATTAACTCATTCAACCACTCAATCATTTGCTCATTCATTCATTCATTCATTGACTCATTCATTCACTCACTTTTACATTAACTCTTTCACTTATTCATTTACTCACTCATTCATTAACTTAATCATTCATTAACTCACTCATTCACTTGGTCATTCATTCAGACATTGACTCACTCACTCATTCATTAACTCATTCATCCACTCAAACATTCCACTCACTCGCTCGCTCGTTCATTCATTGACTCATTTATTTGCACAATCATTTATACACTCAATTTTACATTAACTCTCACTTATTCATTCACTCACTCATTCACTTGGTCATTCATTCATTAACTCACTCATTCACTCGCTCGCTCACTCATTCATTCCCTCACTCATTCACTTGCTCATTCATTCATTAACTCACTCATTCACTCATTAACTCACTCATTCTCTCGCTCGCTCATTCATTGACTCATTTATTCGCGCAATCATTTATACATTCACTTTTACATTAACTCTCACTTATTCATTCACTCACTTATTCATCGACTTAATAATTGATTCACTTACTTTTTCCATTAACTCACTCAATTCATTCGCTCACTCAGTCATTCACTTGCTCACTCATTCATTCACTCACTTGCTCCCTTTTCACTCACTCATTCACTCGCTCACTCACTCATTCCCTCATTAACTCATTTACTCACTCATTCCACACATTCACTCATTTATTCATATTGAGCTATTAAATTAGCCTGATGAATAATTTTTGTACCACAACATCAATCAGCATCACATCCTGAACTCACTGTGCCAATATAATCATCTCAGCAGGCCTGATTCATGATCATCAGTGTGTCCAGTGTGACTTACAGCAATTGTGTTGTGTCTGAGCGCAGGTAGAGTAGTGGACACCATCGACAGGCTGGGTCTGACAGAGAAAACCCTGCTGTATTTCACCTCCGACCACGGCGGAGGCATCGAGGAGGGTCCGAGAGGAGGCTGGAACGGGATATATCGAGGTACAGTCTGATTAAAAAAACAGAAAGAGTCAAAATCACCATCATCTGTCAGTATTCCAGACGCACATTCCTCATCTAAATCCTCCCTCGTGAAGCCAGTATAAGAGTGAGTGGAACTGCAGTTCATCCACTGGCCAGTAGAGGTCAGCTCCAAGAGGAAGTCTTATCCCCATAGACTGCCATGTTAAAATGCCCAACTTTACAGCAGCAAAAAAGGTGTTTAGAGCCTGGTACACAAAACGGTTTGGTGTTTAAAGCTAATATTACCCTTAATGACAACTATGAAGAGGTGAATGTGTTTATAATTTATCCGATTCATTTATATTAAGCTTTAAAATTCTGCATAATTAAGGGAGTGGACACTTGAGTGCTGCTCACAGAAATGTCACCTAAATTCCAGATGCTGACCTTGGTGTATATATATATATATATATATATATATCGTATGATAGATATATCGTATATATCTATGCTTTAGTTTTAAATGGCTTTACACAGTTTACGCAGTTATCGATTTATATTAATATACATTTATATTATACAATTATCAATTACAATTATAGATAATAATGCATGCTGTGTATTTAATTATGCTCACAATCCTTTCAAGACTAACCTCCATTATTATTCTGGTGAGTTATATTCTTATATCATTTTATTAATGAGTGTAATTGTTTTACTTCACTTATTTATCATTTATGATTTTATTTAGAGCTGTAATGCACTCCAGGATCTGACAGGTTGATTAGCTGTAGGGTAAAGACATGTTGTCATGCAGTGTTGTTCCTGGATTTAATTAATAGTCATGTATTTACTAACACAGACTACTGTATATTTAAAGTATTTGAAAGTAATTAGTGTTTTCCTCCTGTAGAAAAACATCCTAAGTATAATTCTTAGTGGCTCGATGTATCACTGTTTTTAAAAGACTTAACTCAGTCAACATATTATTGATATAGTCTAGAACACGAACAAGTCGCGTTTAATGAAGTGTGAAGCATTACATCCAAAGAAAGAACTATCTAAAGTTGCCTTGCACATGACAAGCGACAGAACGGAAGTCATTCATTTCCAATGGAGAGTAGTCTGGGAGCTGCATGGAGTTCTGATCATCTCCGTATGCGGAAAATTTCGATCCGAATTGAGCTGCAGATCCGTTGAAATAATTAAACTTCTGTGACTAGACTGTATGCAACCAGATGTGATGTATTCCAGTGTTTTCTGTGCGCGGAAAGATGAGAAATAGGAGTTTTTTCATTATTTTTTAAGCAGAAAAAAAGTCTACATTAAAAGCAAAACATTTCTATTCATAAATGAGTAATAACAAATGAAAAATTTTCATGTTGTCTCCACATTCCCTCCTAAACTTATAGCGGTCTGTGAGTTTCTAGTATTATTACATTCAACCATGGTGAACTCCTTTATTTCAGACACTGCGAGAATCAGCTTCTCTCCCATGGTGCACGACAAAACTGAAAATTCTGTGCGACAGATCAGGGCTGTCCAAACTCAGTCCGGTGTCCTGCTGACTTCAGCTCCAACTTGCTTCAACACACCTGCCAGGAAGTTTCTAGTATATCCAGTAAGAGCTTGATCAGCTGCTTCAGGTGTGTTTGATAAGGGTTATAGCTAAACTCTCCAGGACTGTGGCCGTTTCTCAATATGCGTTCTTCAGCAGTCTTGCGTCCTCGTGTTCTCGTGTAATGTCATCATCAGCTGCCAAAGTTCAGTTCCAATACTCAAGACCGCAAGAACAGAGGATGTATGAAACTTCCCGGATGTGATCTTGATATCGAGGACACACCAATGCAGACTTGAGCACCGATCTCGCTCTAGAAATCCCAGAAGTCATTGCGACTGGAGGTGGGGAGAGCAGCATTTTATCTAGATTTATTATTAAAGTTTAGAGATATCATTTATTTACCTCAGGAGTTTCTCTGAATGAAACGGTGAATATAATCATCACCATGGACATCTTAATAAAGGAATGAACACATTAAGTGTGTTTATTTGCAGAAATTCCTATTAAGATCTGTTTTATTTATATTGTGCAGAGTATATTGATAATGTTTTATGCAGAGTATATATTTTAAAAGGAGAAAATCAATAAATCGCTGTATGAATGCTGTAATGTTTAAATCATTTACCATTTAAAACGTGTGAAGGTCACGTGAACCTTAGGAAGAACGCAGCATCTCATTTCTCACAGGACGCGTTCTCTGCCCTCGCGGTCGCTCCAAGTTCATTCTTCCGAGGACACCTGGCAAGACTGGCCTCCACAAGAACGCATTGCGTTCTTGGAATTGAGAAACAGCCACCGACCTTCCAGGAGCGAGTGTGGACACCCCTGATCTAAGCAAAATGGAATCAGGCATCTCTAGCTCCGCCCACACTCCTCCTCTTTGCCCATTTTTGGTCATCTGGAAGTTGACAAGCTGGTGACGGTTGGCTCCGCCTACTTTATGCTTCATTTGCGCTCTTCAGAAACCTTTGAGTGACATCATGGACATCTCTATATGTTTTCACAGTCTACAGAAGAGTTCGGCTGCAGTGTACTGTATATGTTTTTGTGGTTTACCGAGCGTCTGGTGTGCAGGTGGTAAAGCCATGGGCGGCTGGGATGGAGGAATCCGTGTGCCGGGTATATTCCGCTGGCCTGGTCGTCTGGCTGCGGGAAGAGAAGTGGCAGAACCCACCAGCCTGATGGATGTTTTTCCCACAGTGGTGAAGCTGGCCGGAGGAGAGCTGCCGAAAGACAGGTAATACACACACCTGTACACATATAATACACACTCACTTAAAGGTGCTGTATGTCAGTGTTTGACTCAGACAAACACCATGATATGTGTGCAGATATTCAGAAACATGCTCAGTGAACATTCCTGTTCATCTGGAAAACACTGCTGAAGTCAGATAATCTGCTGTGAGCATGTTTTCTGTGCCGGAACGCATGTCTTTGCTTTGGTCCCTTTAACCCACCCACTGTCAGTTTAGCCAATTATATTTCACCACCCTGGGTTGCCAGATGGTGGAAAACAGCATATTTAATTCATTCATTCACATTCATTCATTCAGAAATGCTCTCATAGCATGCATCTGTGACTGAGATGCGACCTCCGGTGGACAGTAGCAGACTCCCAAATGAGACAGATTCAGAGTTCCACATGAGGAGGTTATTAATCAGCAAACAATTGTTTGAGTTGTCTGAGTTGTTTCCAAGAGTTTGATTACTTTGGTCGCCGGATTTCCAATTATTTACAATGTTTTCTTACAGAAACATTCATTAAATAAGTTACTGATGTGCATTAATGTTATATATATTTATCTTTAAACAAGCGGGAATCTCATGCGACAGTACAAAACAGTACTGCTGCTTCAGGATATTTCAGATATATGGACACATCGGATAATTAAGTGGAGCAATCCACACCACACGCAACTTGATCTTCTATTGTTAAATGAATTTGATAAGAAGTGTGCAACATTTTCACGCTAGAAAGCAAAGCTGTATGCAGGAATGTTACTGATATGCTGCCATGGCTCCTTTAAATACAAGATCAATGTAGTGACCTTGGATGCTCTCACCGTTTTCGGTGTGAACGCACAGTAACCCTGTCTCCTAACAACACACTACGAGATGAGATACGCAGTGATGAGCAGTTTGGCTGTTTGCAGCAGATGAAACAGGACAGAAGTGTAAACACAGCCATTCAGCAGCACATAATAGAGCACTCACTGCACTCCAGCACAACGCTGAGCTTTATAATCTAATGAACACACATTAAAGCTCTTGAACATGAGTAAATGTAGATGCTGGATCACTGATATGTGTTGGTTTGCTCTGAGTCTCAGTTCTAGAGTTCAGTTTCAGACGCTTTATTGTATTCTGCAGATCTGAGCTGAACTATCTGCTGCTGCTGTCAGTAGTGTGCTGATAAATGTCATGTCAGACTCACATTATTAGCATTTAACACTGAATAAAGCACATGAGCTGTAGCTGATCAGTGTCAGTTTTCTGTTGTTCAGCTGTGAAAGCCGTTTCTAATAGATCAATTCGAAGTGTTGGTTGGGACAAAAACTCATTTTAACATGGAGAATATTCCTACTATTGCATGCTGTTGCTTTTAGTTAAAACGCGGTTTAAATCACTCACTCCTGTCCTCAATCTGTCAACCTGTGCTTGCGTTTGTTTTGATACAGAAGTGCAATACCTAGTTCAACCACTGGGTGTCAAATAACATACTGCACCTTTAAACAGCACACTCACTCAAACACTGAAGAGTGTTCAGCTGGTGCTGCAGAAAGACAAAATAACCCATTGAGCACTTCATGCCTTGCAAATAGTACATACTATAGTCATATATGTGTACTTAGGGCGTACTCACATTATGCCATCCGTACCGTGCCCAGGCCCGTTTCCCGGATCGTTTGAGAAGTGTGAGTGCGCTAAATCGGGCTCAAGCACGGTTCACTTGGCCGGCCCTGGCCCGATTGGAAGAGGTGTGCCTGAGCGCGGTTCACTTGGGCTTTGGCGCGGTACACTTGTGTGTGTGTGTGAGTGCAAAACGTGCCAAAGTCCGAAACTGAAAGCGAGACGTGACTTTAAGGGGTTGTTTCATATGGATTTATTAATCATTCTTACTGTTCAGTGATCGCAAACTGCCGTAGCTTATTAAAGACGCAAAACCCTCACTGCACGTCAGCTGCGCGCCTTCAGCAGACCTGGCAGATCTGTTCGGCGAAATATCTGACTGCGTGTCTCCGCATCCCTAAGGACTGTTTGGTGAAATATTTGACAGCATATCAAACGACTGACATGATATAACTAGAGAAATCTCCACTGTGCTGCTGAGCGAGAGAGCGCTTCTCACTGAACAGCACAGCAGTAATGACGTAAGCGTGCCGAAGCCCGTTTGTGGTGTGAGCGCAGGCCGTCGGGGGAGACGGGAGGGGGGACAAGCGTGCTTTGGCCCGGTTCGAGGCAACTGTACCTAGTGTGAGTACGGCCTTAAACTCTCTGGCATGCACTTGGAGACACCCTAGAAACCATCTGTCAAACTTTACCCTAACAACACCCAGCAGAAAAACATCCCAACTTAACCCTAGCAGCCAACCAGTGATCAGCCTAATTTCACTCTAACAACACCTTAGCAACCACCCATCTAACATCCTAACAATGTTTTTGTGTGTGTGTGTGTGTGATGTGTGTATTTGTATGTGTGTGTAGGCTCCTGGATGGTCATGATCTGATGCCGCTGTTAGAGGGCAGCAGCAGCCGCTCTCAGCATGAGTTCATGTTCCACTACTGCGGCATGTATCTGAACGCTGTACGCTGGCACCCACAGAACAGTGAGTGACACACACACACACACATACACACACATACACACACACACACCAGAATTGTGTACATTTTCAATTTCGATTCCAGTGATAAACATTAATGCACAGAGCACAGCATCCTACATTTACGTGATGCACTGTGTGCATGTTTTACTAAACAGATAGGTCTTTAATCTAGTGTTGAACTGAGAGAGTGTGTCTGAGCCTCGGACATTATCAGGAAGGCTATTCCAGAGTGTAGGAGCCATAAATGAGAAGGCTCGACCTCCTTTAGTGGACTTTGCTGTTCTAGGTACTACCAGAAGCCCTGAGTTTTGACATCTTAAAGAGCGAGTTGGATTGTAGCGAGACAGAAGGTTAGATAAACAGGAGCTAGATTATTTACAGCTTTATAGGTGAGGAGTAATATTTTAAATTCAATACAAACTGAGCAGGCAGCCAGTGTCAGGAGGATAAAATTGGGCTAATATGATCATATTTTCTAGACCTGGTCAGAACTCTGGCTGCTGCAGTTTGTACTAGCTGAAGTTTGTTAATAGAGGATGCTGGACAGCCAGCAAACAGAGCATTACAGTAATCCAGCCTAGAGCTCATAAAAGCATGGACTAGCTTTACACAATCAGACTCAATACACACACATACAACATACAGACAGACTGACTACACACACACACAGACTATACCAACACAGATACACATATAGACTCATATACACTCTCTCTCTCTCTCACTCTGTTCCGTCTCCTCCTCAGGCTCCTCCATCTATAAGGTGGTGTTCTTCAGCCCAGTGTTCTCCCCCGCGGGCTCCAGTGGCTGCTTCAGCACGGGCAGCTGCATGTGTCACAAACCGCATGTGACGTACCACAGCCCCCCGCTGGTGTTCCTCATCAGCAGCGACCCATCAGAGAGCGTCCCGCTGACAGAACAGACAGACCCGCGGGTTCCCGAGGTCCTGCAGAGGGTGCAGCGCGCAGTGGAAGAGCACAGGAGGAGTCTGACACCTGTAGAGATGCAGCTCACCTGGAGGAAGACGCTCTGGAGACCCTGGCTGCAGCCCTGCTGCGGGACATTCCCATACTGCACCTGTTCTGAGGAGGACACACACACTACTGGATGAGGACACACACACTGCTGTGGGACACTCTCAGACTGCACCTGTGCTGAGGAGAAGGACACAAACACAGCTGAATGAGGACACACACACGCATTCACCTCTCATGCTCACACACATCTCCCAGACAAACACTAAGGGTGTACTCACACTATTTACAGTCGTCTGTACCGTGCCGAAGCGCGCTTGTCCCCCTCCCCTCTCCCCCGAAGGCCTGCCCTTACACTATTATCGTCCGAACGAGAGCTCACTTCCGTCATACATGATGCTCTGGGGTGCGTTTCCCAAACAATGACGTAACTCGCGGCTGAACTATCATAGTACGATGCATCATTTGGGAAAAGAATGATGTAGTGACGAGTGTTTCCCAAAACCCGTAGTTTCTCTGTTGCAGATCCATCGCTTGAACCACGTTAGGTAAAATCATAGACTGTAAAAGATAGGGATGTAGTATCCGTGAAGCTACAAGTAGGCGTGGCCTACCGTCGCCATTTTGTTCGCGCGTCATCGCACTCACGTCGGGATACCAAACAAGGGCACAGAGGCGGAGAGTGGGCGGAGCTACAGACACCTGCTGGCATTTAGCTTGGACCTGGCTTTAGACACACTTTACTTTGGGAGAAACGCTGAATACTTTATAACCTGTGACACACTTGTGTTCTGACCACATGTGCTGGGCTGTACACTATATCAATAAAGTGTTTAGACTTTTCAAAACACTGCTGTAATACATTACAGCAAAAAACATTGCTCTTATGATGTTTTCCTGCAGGAGGAATCACTTCCAAACACTTCAGATAGAGTCTGTGATGGTTAATGTAAGACTATTGATGAACTCCAGCAGAACACTGTATGACAACGCTTCAGATGACTGATCTAGAGCCTACAGCTAATCAATCTGACAGATTCTGCGGTACATTACAGCTCTAAAGAAAATTACAGATGATAAATGATCACAAATAAAACAAATACATGTATAGAGATAGTGTATAACTTTACTCATATGGGAAACGGAGGCAACGTGAATGGTTTGTGAGCACAATTAAGTGCACACAGCATCCCATATCATCTGATAATTGTAAGAAATAAGTCCAAAAGGCAGCTGACTGTGTAAAGCCACATAAAACAACACACAAATATGATGAATCTGCCGAGTTCAGCCGGAATCAGCTGAGGTGATGTGACCAGCGAGACCCAGCTGTCACTCAAGTGGCCACGCCCTTAATTATGCAGACTCAATATAACCTAATATAAAGGAAACTGATGAGTTATAAATAACTTCACCTCTCAAAGTTGTCATGAAGGGTAATATTAGCTTAATGAACCAAAATCGTTCTTTGTAGCAGGCTGTAAACACCTTTATTTCTGCTGTAAAGTTGACCATTCTAACAGTGAGCTCAATTGAAATCTGCTCAATTATGCAGCCAGTACTAGCGGAATTTCGATGAATTGCAGTTTCAGTTACTTCCGTATTGACTTCTCGAGAGAGAGTTTCAGAGTACTGGTTATACTGTAAAACGCCCATAATGATGCTATAAACTGGGTGTAGTAACTACTGTACTTCTTTAGAGCAGAAGCCCATCATTTATTTGTGCAGATTATATTGATTTACACGCACACATTAACAAAATCTAATATTAGTTTTGGTAAAAGCGTGCACTCGCTTTCCATATTAACTGAAATACATGCAAACGGCACATATAGAGCCTGTGTTTCCTTTACTAATATTACTGAGAACATTACATAGTCTATTCTAAAACACATACAATCACTTACAAATGCTGACACCTATTCTAACATCATATATAAATCAGATAAATAAATAAATGATGAGGCGATTTATTAAGAAATTACATTTATATTTATTAGGAAATTAAAAAATCCTACTTTAATAGTAATATTAATTAATGTTGATCATTAAGTAGGATATTGTTCATTTCTTTTTTTTTTTGTTTTTGGGAAAAGTCTACTTTTACAATTTGACACCTGTAAGAATGTTAAAATGTTCTGAATGAATAGGGCATAGGGGGGATAACGGAATAGAACACAGCCAGGAACTGTTTCTAACCGCAGCTCCAGAGGTGTAGTTGCAAGTGCACAAGTTTGCAGAATGTCCGTTAAAACGATGGATTTGGGAAACGCCAAATCAACAAGCTATTTTTGTAACCACACAACTTGCGACCTTAGTTGGCTAACGATGGTTTCGGGAAACGCACCCCTTGTTAGTTGAACAGAAGAGTGGCGCTCTCGCTCAGCACAGTGGACATTGCTGCAGTGATATGGCTTTAGTGGTTTGACACACGGGCAGATCTTCTGCTGAACAGATCCAGCACTGTTGAGGCTCATTACTGTTCAGGTGCTGCAGGAGGTTTGCTGAAGGTGCAGTGGGGGCTTTGCATCTTTCATAAACTATGACACCTCTCGTTCTATGAACAGTAAGAATGATTAATAAATCCATATGAAGCAGTCTCTTACCTGACGTCACATCTTCACTTTAACGCTCAGGCGCACTTTGCACCCACACTACAAGTGTACACCTCTACACAACAAGTCTGGCACACCTATTCCAATCGAGCCAACTGAACCACGCCTGAGCCTGATTCACAGCACTCACACTTGTCAAACGAATTGGGAAACACGGTGGGAACGGTTCAGATAGCATAGTGTGAGTACGCCCTGATACTCAGACATATCACTCCCCCTCTCATCTATACACACACACACTCATTCACTTCCTCTCTCATGCACACACACTCCCTCTCTAACACTCACACACAGCAGGATGAAGGCTAGACACCGCTGAAGATCTTTGCTGACACAGCAGATGCTCATGAGAAACAGGACTCATCCCTCAGGGGTTCAGAGAGTGAAATGTTCACCGTTTAGACATCACAGCGAGTCTCACTGTCAGAGCTCAGAGTCCTCCTCAATGCAGAGAGGTTATATATTACGCATTATAATCTTTCTGTAATTGTAATAACCTGAGAAACAGGTTAAAGGCATGTTTGTTTACTGCGCTCATCTTCTAGACTGAGCTGATGCTGGAGAACAGCACATTCACAACAACAACAACAACACAATGACTTCAGTAAATAATGGATTCTACAAATATTACACGAACCAAACATGGGATCATTTTTAAAACTGAAATTAAACTGAAATGACACTTTTTACCCAATGTTTGGGTTACAGCAGCCCAGCATTTATTATTATTATAATATTTTAGTGTGCTTCCATCTGACAGTACTGCTTAAAACCCAATCCACAGCTCTGTCCTCATGATATTTTCCACTGTTCTCATGTTTGTGGCCATACAGTAAACTAATGCAGTGAGAACTCATTTACAGCGTCTGATAGTGTTGTTAATAATGCAGTAGTTGATGGTTTAATCCTGTTAGATGACATGGCATCACTGCAGCGTTCACACACCATTATCTGTGCACTGCAGTTTCTCTTAATGCTTTCACCTGAAATCATTCAGCTAGTGTTACTGTAAACAATCATCAAAAACTGCAGCAAGAGTGTGTGACCACAGGGTGGCGCTGCCCGCACACACACGCTGAACCAAAGCTTTCATTTTTAAATTAAGCTTAAATGAACATACAAAATACTAATTAATCACAGTGAGAATAATCATAAATCGCAAATAATCCAAACAGCAGCAATAAAACAGATTATTAAATGAATATAATAATAATAATCATTTAAAGAATACAACTTACACACAACTCAAGGGGCTCCCTCTGTAACAGAAGAGCTTCAGAAGATGAGCTGCTGAAGTTTCATGGCTTTGCTTATGATGAAGAAGCGTCAGGGATTTGAAGACCATGAAAAAATAAAGTAAAACAGTGTGTGTGTGTGTGTGTGTGTCTGTGTGTGTGTGTGTGTGTGTGTGTAGTGAAGTATGTAGAATACTACATAAATTAAACCAAGCATTGAATTCTTCTTTGAATTAGCATAAGTAAATGTTTTAAAGACTTCTTGAAACATGCATTCATCATAATCCATGTTAAATCTGTGCCTGAGGAAGAGCTGTCAGGGATAAAGGTTAATAATCATTTTAAACACAAATGATCTGTTTTGATACACACACACACACACACACACACACACACACACACACACACACACACACACACACTGGACTGAGAGATTTGATTTCTACAATATACTGTAATCAGGTGTACAGTACAATTGTTTAATAAAATATATCATTTATATGACCTTTTTGATCTTAATTTCCTTCATATTCCTCCACAAGGTTATAATAATAATCATTTTCAGATTTAAGTCCAACACTATTTGCACACTTGATCTTTTTTAGCAAATTTTATAGTTGCTTTTTTCATGAATATATTTGTATTTATTCAGCTCCAAGTCAAACAAATGTATGCAAATAAAAAAAACTAGATACTCACCGGCCAATTTATTAGGTACACCTTACTAGTACTGGGCTGGCCGCCCATTTGCCTTCAGAACTGCCTTAATCCTTCATGTCAGAGATTCGACAAGCTACTGGAAATATTCCTCAGAGATTTTGCTCCATATTGTCATGATAGCATCACACAGTTGCTGCAGATTTGTCGGCTGCACATCCATGATGCCAATCTCCCGTTCCACCACATCCCAAAGCTGCTCTATTGGATTGAGATCTGGTGACTGTGGAGGCCATTTGAGTACAGTGAACTCATCGTCATGTTCAGCAGTCTGAGATGATTGAGCTTTATGACATGCTGCGTTATCCTGCTGGAAGTAGCCATCAGAAGATGGAGACACTGTGCTCATAAAGGGATGGACATGGTCAGCAGCAATACTCAGGTAGGCTGTGGCGTTGATGCTCAATTGGTACTAATGGACTCAAAGAAAATCTCCCCCACACCATTACACCACCACCACCAGCCTGAACCGCTGATACAAGGCAGGATGATCCATGCTTTCATGTTGTTGAAGCCAAATTGTGAGTCGAGCATCCGAATGTGTCAGCAGAAATGGAGACTCATCAGAGCAGCAACGTTTCTCCAATCTTCTATTGTCCAGTTTTGGTGAGTCTGTGTGAATTGTAGCCTCAGTTTCCTGTTCTTAGCTGACAGGAGCGGCACCCGGTGTGCTCTTCTGCTGCTGTAGCCCATCCGCCTCAAGGTTGGACGTGTTGTGTGTTCAGAGATGCTCTTCTGCAGAGCTCGGTTGTAACGAGTGCTTATTTGAGTTACTGTTGTCTTTCTATCAGCTGGAACCAGTCTGGCCATTCTCCTCTGACCTCTGGCCCCATCAACAAGGCATTTGCGCCCACAGAACTGCTGCTCACTGGATATTTCCTCTCTGTCGGAGCATTCTCTGTAAACCCTAGAGATGGTTGTGCGTGAAAATCCCAGTAGATCAGCAGTTTCTGAAATACTCAAATCAGCCCGTCTGATGCCTAAATGCAGTGAGCTGCTGTCATGTGATTGGCTGATTAGACATTTGCTTAAATGAGCAGTTGGACAGGTGTACCTAATAAAGTGGCCGGTGAGTGTATATTCCAGAAGGCTATATATATATATATATATATATATATATATATATATACACACACACACACACACACACATATATATATATATATACACACATACATATATATATATATACATATGTATATAGATTACAAAAAAATAAAAAAAGAGTTCATTTGAGTCGTTTGATTCACTGGGAGACTGGAATGAATCTTCTAACAGAAT